GCGTTTACAATATATTGCTTATATACAATGGTGTTGTATTATGTGTTCATTATGCTACATTCATAATCATAGATACGTATCTTAATTTTATTAAATAAAAATATATTTGAACTAAACCCTATAAAAGAGAATGAGGTACAATTTAGACTACGTGTAGTTTTGTGAAATAGTTTATTACATTTACGATTTCAACTATTTAGATTTTTTATTTATTTTTTTATAAAATTTATTACTACTGTTGCATATAAGAAAATTGAAAGATAAAAATGGATTATTAAAATTAAAAAATTATATATATTTACTATTTAATATTATTATAAAAATTTTTTGCTTCATAGGTAAAAATTTCTATGCTAATATATAATTTAAGTACGTATGCGTATATCTTAATTCTGTAAGTTTACTAATTGTAATTCAAACATTTTTATTATTTGAATACATTTTCTTAGAGTATTCTTCTCTTCTTTGAGTATATTATTTTAATATTAATATTGCTATAAAATTTCTGGTTGATTAAATAAAATACTTGTTTGATCACTTTTATGAAAACTTTGATATCTATTTTTATTCAAAATATTTTATGTAAATTTTAATTAATAATTAGTTTTGTTTATTTAAATTTCATTATATAATTATTAAATTATTAAATTATTATACAAAAAGTTTAAAATATAATGTTGAATAACAAAATCCTTGTATATAGAATAGCATTAACTAGATAATAATAGATATTAATAGCATTTACTTTTTATCACTATATTTTTAAGGTTTGAATATTTTAATTTTTTTTTTTAAACTTTTTTATTTTTTATATATTTTATATACAAAATTTCTTGTTAATATGTGATTATCATTTGATAGATTATATGTAATTATAAAGGTCCGATATAATACTGATTATGTAGATTATGACTCAGATTTTGAATGTTTAGACATATAATATAATTGTAATATAAAAAAAGATTGAAATTAATGACAGTAGATCTATATAAATGCTTTATATGTAGAATCTTATCATAAAATTGGTAAACAATTATATTTGGTAAACAAATTATAATTTAATAGTTATTAATTCAATAGAGAATGTGGCTATATAGAAGTGTGTTTTATACATTGTGTTTTCTTTTATGACACAGTTTGAAAGTATAGTTAATATTTTAGCGTCTAGTGAATAAATAAACAACTAAAGTACAATTTGAATATCTATCACATTTTTACGATTTGAAATAACTTATTACTAATTTCATATGTATTGATTATAAGTATATACATTCATTTATGAACATATTTATTTTTATCAGTGATTACAATAAATATTTTTAAATTCAAAACTATTTGTTTTAATTTTATTTTCATTACATTCTATCTGCATTCAAACTCATCTACATAAATCATAAAAGCATTCGATTTCATATTTTGCAGCCATTTTGAATTAGTATTTTGAACTAATGTTTTTATGACAAAACAAAATTTATGCCTAATCAATGGAACATTGAACAGTTTTTTTTTTTAAATAAATAATATAGTTTGCAAATTTTTGTACCATTCTATTATAGTCTACCATATTGTTATTTACTTACCTTTGTACATTCGATTATATATATATGGAGTTTCCAAACAAAGCATATAAATTATAATTTTTTCTTAAATTATTTTCTTAGTGATCTTTGAAAAATAAACAATAAATTTTACAAGACATGATTTTTGCATTAAAAAATTATATCATAAACAGTATTTTTAATTCTTATCAAAAGTTTTATATTTCTTAATCGGTTTAATTTTATTTTACCTTTAAATTTAAAGTTTTGTAGAATGTTAGATTAGAACACTAATAAACTAATACATTAATATTTATTATGAGCCTCGTATTATTTTAATATACGATTTATATAATAGAACTATCGTATTATTCAACACAAGATTAATTCTCACAGTTTCAGTTATAGTATATACTGTTATAAATATGCTCATTGTAACAGAATTTTTATCCTACATATACGTAGGATTATTATAATAAGGAAAAACAAAAATCTCTTAAGTTTTATTTTTATTTACAAATATTATGGATATATAAACAGCAGTGAAATATAAAAGGAAATTAATAATTTTAATATTCTACAAATACATCTAAAATAAAAAAAAATGAAATATAAATGTCATTTAAACCTACAAAATTTGTTATAAAAATGTGTAACATATTTAATTTTATCGATTAACTAGTAATTGCATTATTAAAATTTTAATACATGTTAGAAAAGTACTTTTAAAAAATTGAATTGATAATTTAAAGTAATATATATAGTTAATATACTATCAAATATTGAATGTAATACTTTATGTAAAATCTTCATGTTTTTAAAATTTATTGTGTATCAAATTTAAGAATTTATATAATGTTTGAATTTAAAAATATTAAAATATTTATACATCATACTTAAAAGTTTTAAATTATTTTTGTATATATTAATATTTGATTAAACGATGTCAGAAATCTGTTTCTTTCTTTAAAGTTGTGAAAAATATGGTAGTTGAGATTAACAAAACTTGTGTTAGATACTCTAGTGTATTATTAAAATGCTCAAATACAAGACAAAGGTAAAGATTGCCGTAAGTCACATTAAAGTATATTGATGAATATAAATTAAAAATTGAGGAAGTATTTTGATTCATTAAAAAAATTTTATTCAAATTCCTATAAGTTTTTTCTTATCATTGTTCTATAATAGGTACATATGTTAGGTATATAAGTAATGTTTTGTTTAATAATTAATACAATTTTTCCGTATAATAAATATCGACCAAATTTCAAACTGTTACTTTACTAGTTTTTTAAAAATGTTGTATAAGAAGAAAAATTATATGGTAGTTTTTACATTAATAAATTTATTTGTTTATAGTGATTATTAATTTTTGTTTATTTAGTGTGCACTTTAAAGATCTTATAAATAAACTAGTCTCATTAACAAAGATAATTTTTACATCAAATACAATTATAATATTAATCAAACTAAGCTTAAATGTTCAGAGACTACTTAAAGTTATTAGGTGAAATTTCTTGTAATCAGTAGAAGTAGATGTATTAAATGTCTATTTTTTATCAGGTGCAATGTACGATATATTTATATACATAAATATTTTGTTTAATATTCTAGAGTACAAATAAAGAAATATTTTTTTTACTTAACATAGGTAAAACAAAGTACTCGTCTGCACCTAGAATTATAAAAATTGATAAGAACTGCTGGCTTGTTATTTTCAATTATAAACGTAATTTTCCTTATTTTACTTTAACCACATACTTTATTATCCAAATACTTACATTATTCAATTGAATTGAAGATCACTCGAAAACGTAACATATTTAAAAATAATGAAATATAAATTAAGATTTTTGGTAAGTAAAACATCGTGTAATAAAATACTTTTAATACAATCTATTTTTATTTAACAGTTTGATAGTAGATTAATAAAAAATTTAATTTCTATATCTTAATATTATTTTAATACAGAATATCTTGTACTAATTAAAAATGATTATAATTGATATTAAAACAAGTTATCTGAATAACAAGTATTAATTTGAAAGGTCATATAAACCAATTTCTTTGGGTCTTTAAAAAACTCATTTTATTTAAATCTAATACAAGTTTTTTCCGTATAAAATCTAGTTTTATTTAGCATTTTTATTTCAGATATTTCGGCATAAGATCTTTTTTGAATTTGAGCTACCAGTCGATTAATAAATAGTACATAAAGAGCATTCATATGTATTTCTTTGTCTAATAAAAATGCTGAGGCACAAAGTAAGGTAATTGTTTTCTTTAATATTTTATAATGAAATATAATTTTATAAAGCTTATACATGAATGTAAATAATTTGCTAATAATTAATAAAATTAATTAAATTCCATATTTAATTATTTAAATAAATTATAAACTAAATTTTTGTTTTTTTAATAATATCAAAAACAGTAATTGAATTTGTAAGTAAATTTCGAATAAAATCATAATTAGTAAAAGCTAATGAACTATTTTATTCGATTAAAAAATAAAACTATGACAAAAATACAAAATAATTTATCAATTATAATACGTATGATAACGTAAGCCGTGATATCTTCATTCATCTGAAATCTAAGTAATTAATTTATGTCCTTAATTGATAGAAAAATGACATAAAAACGCATTAAATTTCTGTCATGCTATTCATCACTTACCATAATACTATTATAACTTATAGATAGTTCATAATTTATGAAATTAAGCATTTAAATGTTCAATATTTATTCATAGTATGAATAAATTATTAAAAACTACTAATATTATAAACGTCATTCTACAATATTTTATGAAACAAAATCGCTAACTGATTTTAACAATCTTTAAGAACCCAATAAGTCCATTTTATTTACCAATAGCAAAATAATATTCCGATAAATCTTTAAATACTACAGTCAATGAAAATATTACGAGTATAAGGAATTCTAGATAAAAGGAAAATATTATTAAATAAACTTATCACCTGCTTTAATCATATATATAAGCAATTGAATTGGTATTTAAGTTACAATGCAATTTTTCTCACAATTTGTATGTGCTTCAAATAAAGCTATTAACTGATTATTGCGACAATTATAAATTAAATATAAACTAAACGATTATTCATTTTTTCTCATTTCAAGCTTATAAGTATTTATGATTTATAGAGAAATAATCATTATATTATATAAAATTATGTTATGAATGTAAGGTAAAATTATTATTAATTATACTAGAAATTTAATAACAATATTTCTGAAAAAATATGATTATGTAAATATTTTTTAGTAAAATATGAAATTTTAGCTGTTAATATATTAATTATTCGATTAATATTAATATTGAATAAATTTGTATTTTAATTAATTACGAAATTATATATTCGCCTATATTTTAGTTATACATTATCTATGTTATAACAGATACAAACATTGAGATGTTTATGAAGAGTGAAGATTTAATTTATACTACTTGAAGATTTTAACGACAAAACAAAATTGGAAAAAAACTATAAACAAGATAGAAAGATGGCTCGTCAACGACATATTTATGAAACAGCATTTGATTGTAAAATTAATAGATCAAACGATGATATAGATGATCTAGATCGTGTTACAAATCATCCTCTTTTAATTTCTCACGTAAGTATATTTTGCTACATTTATAAAAAATATATAAATTATATGAAGTTTTAATTATTAATTTTTGTCTATTAAATTTAATTATTTATATCGCTTATAGAATATGAAATTCAGCGTATTTTAATGTTATTATTTTAACTTACAATAAATAGAGATTACATTTATGTAATGTTTATTTTATTAATCATTTATTAGCAAATTTGTAGTTTGACGCAATATATAGTATTTTATGTATAATAATGTAATACACAATTTCAGTTAAGAGATAATTCGTCTTCTTTTTGTCGAACAAATTCATCGATTGAATCATCAAAACGGACAACAAAAAATTTACAGCAAATAACATCTCAAGTATTTAAAGACCATCGATGTAAATTTATTTTTCATAGAAAAACTGGAATTTCGAATCAATCAGATAAGCAAGAACAGGAAGCTGATAATATTTCGAAACTCACACAGGATATTAAATCTCTCAAAATAAATTTATTTAAAGAAAAAAGTTTATTGAATAGAGAATATACTTCATCTGCTTCTCCTGCACCTATATCTACTAAATTTTACAGTATGCACAAACGTGAACAGTTTTTACTTAAAATACACAAAATCTCTAATTTAAATAATCAGCATCAATTGGTACAGTCGCGTTCAAAAGATATGAATGTTTTCGTCGATTCCATTCCACAAGCTCCCGATTATTCACACCGTATAAGTGAAAACAATATTTATGAATCAAAAAATCGACCTAAAAATTCGTTTCATAATAGTAAAGAATTTATTCTTGAATTTAAAGACAAGCCCATAGAGAACGTATTAATTCAACGAGTTCAACCTCGAAGTATTGTGTGCGAAAGCAAATCTATTAAGGAATTCAAAGATAGGCCTCACAAAGCTGAAATCGTTACTGAAAACCAAATGTGTCGCAATTTAGAAACCACGTTGCTTGAATTCAAATTAGATGCAAGTCGTCGTAATCTTGGCTATTCAAGTACCGAAAGTATAACAAGTAGTAGTTGCGGTAGTATGGAATCATTGCGTAGTAGTAATAGCGAAGATAATCGCTCCATAAGTAGTAATGAAAGTGGACATAGCATAAGCTTCAGTTCCCATAGTTCTGACAGTGATACTATTAGAAGTTATTTATGTCCGTATCATAATCATCAGCAATTGAGTTCTTCAAATTTCTTATGCCCCTATGCAACTAAACTAGAAGTACGGTCATCTATCCAAGACACATCATTACGAACACCTGCAAGTGAAATTTCTGATAATCTTAATAGTCTACAGAAAACATTACCGGAAGAATTTCAATTTGCTGAAAGTAATCAAATTATATATAATGGCACTTCAATAAAACATCCTATTACATCTATGGATACATCATTGTCTTTAAAGAAAAGACGAATATCACAGAATAAAAATCTTATTGATTTCGTACTACAATCATCATTGTCAAGTGATCAAAAAATACAAGGCTCGGATAGTGGTATATCAATAGAGTCACGTGCAGAAATAACATGTAATAAGACATTTGATTTCCATCTACTTAAAATATCATCTACAGCAGTAAAATCACAAGAAGAGCAATATTTTAATGTTACAAATCAGCTATTAAAGAATGAACAACAGCTTTCAAATTTACCATTTGACATGCCAAAATTATGCAGACCAAAGCTATTAATGCAACAAGATATTACTACTTCGGGTAGTGTAACTAACGTTGATTTTACGAATCTACCTTTTGACATGCCCAAGTTGAAAAGACGACTAAAATGTATGCAAAATACAGAATCTACTGTACCACAGACATCAAATATTTCTTTCCGAAACATAGAAGCATCTATTTTTGGTAAGTTTAGCTGCTTATGGTATATTTTATAAAAAAATGATTCGATATTTTAAAAAACTAAACACACTTTTAAGCACTCATTGTTATTATTTTGTTTTCATAAAACATTTAAACATAAATCAGTATATCAGATATTTAATAGTTTTATTTTAATAGAAATTTCTTTGATAATATAAAAATAGAAAAGAAAATAGCCTTTGTATAATTTAAAAAACAATTCGAAATAATTGAGAGACTTCAATATAAAAATTAATAAGTTCTAATATTTTAAATAAATGAAAATTTAAGAAATTTGTTATTCGTTTTGAACATAAGATTATTTCAATTTTTTACTTCGGCATAAATAATATTCTAAACTTATTTGTATATTGTTTTTAAAAATATAATGTACAAAGATTTTAAGAAGTAAGGATTAAAATATATTCATATTCAAGATGTATTAATGATATTCATAAAGTTATAAAAATTCAAAATTTTGAGATTGAATTTGAAAAAATTAAAAAATAAATAAAGGAATGAATAATAAAATATGAAAAAAATCTATATAAATAAATATTTAAATTAGTATAATCAGCTAGCTAGATACGTACATCATATTTCATGAATATATGCAACAGTATTTTTATGACTAACTAAAGATTTCAAATCTATCATGCACAATAATTTCTATATTCTATGTACAGTATTTGCATTACGTCAATACACCGAAATGGATTTAAAGATTGCATTTCAAGACTTTCCATGATAATACAAATTTTTAAGGGTATTCCTTACATTCTTTATGAATTATTGAAATATAATTTTTAATAACTATTGTAAAATTATTCCCATATCAGCTATTTATCATCAGTTTCCATTTTATAATTTTATAGGTATGGATAACTTATTTTATCTTAAAAAATATACATTTTTCTGTTTTTATAAAAATCTGGTTATCAAAATATATATTGATATTATGTAGAATATAATTTTATTTAACTATTAATGATGTAGAGCTATACTACGTATTTTTTTATATATTATTGTTCAATTAAAAAAGAGCTTAATAATTTAAGAATATGTTCCATTTTTTATTAAATTACGTGAAGTTTGGGTAATATATCACCTGAGAATTGTTAAACAAGTCATTTAATTAAAAAAAAATTATTGAGATATGACAAAATTATATTATTTTGATTATTGTTAATACTTTAAAATAAAATAAAAAATATTTTCCAACGAATTATGGTTCAAATAAATTGAAATATAAAACTTATTAATAATTAAATATGTTAATAAGCGTGAAAGTTTCAAATTACTTGTATAATTATGCCTGATTATCTCTGAAATGTGATTGGAAATAATTTTAACAGTTCTTATTCTTCATTTTAATAGTTATTGTTACAAGCAATTCAATCATTACATTCAAAGTTGTCCTATCATGCATGCAGTAATATTATGGACGAGTACATCAATGAGTACTATATTATATGCCTGCAATATAGATTTCTAATTGCCCGTTTTATAACTTAATATTTATCTAGCTTCTTTTTATGCAAATCGGAAATTATTAAAAAGATTTGTAAAGTATAAAAAATTTACAAATGCTAAATTAATTATAAACTATAGTATATTTTGTTTTTAACTGCTATGAGTACAATAATATATTTAAAAAAAAATTTTTAAATATAAATTTATGAAATATTTCTTTCTATACCCACGCCTTTTCATAATATTTGGGCGTCTACAAACTGAAAAGAAAATAACTAAAAATTAAATTGCTTACATTTTCACTTAGCAAACAAATGCATATTAAGTATATAAATGTATATATATATATATATAACAAATTGAAATCATAATTATTTCAGTCTTAAATCTTCAATTTTTAATTTTTTTGAAATTTTAAATATTTTATTTAAACCAATAATAAATTGGTTATATGAAATGACTGTTAGAATTATATCTTGTTCAAAATAATTTAAATTTATTATAAGAAAAATATAAATAGGCCACAAGCACTTTTTAATAGTTTACTTTATAATTTTAATGAAAATTATTAATAATGTGCTCAATTGTTATTTTAGATGAGAGAAATGGAATTGAAAATGAATCACTTATCCATTTTACCAATGTCGGAGATACTTGTGAACAATTGACATTGAAAAAATCTAGAGGCCTTAATTTAGTATTATCACCCAAACAATGTACTACTCAAGGATCTCCTGATTTTATTGATGTTGAGCTGCCATTAGAAAGACAGGGGTTTGTATTTATAATTTTTCTTCTTTTTGATCTTTCGAAAGTGTTACTAATATTACATCTTTAATTTAATTTATTTTCACCACATTTTGAACAAAAAAAAATTTTAATTTTTAATATAATTTTATAAAAATAATCTAGAACCGATTTAAATTAATTTAAAAAATTACCTTATTTTTTATTTATCGCCAACTATAGATTATGCTATAGTTTAATTGTTCTAAAACTATCTTTAAATTGAATATTAAATTAAAAATTTTATTTTTAGTTTTCAAATACTGATTAAATAAATATACATAAGATAAGATTAATTAAACGATACATAAAAAAATTTCATTGAAGAAATTACGAACATTAAAATAAAATAAAGGATTAAAACAAAAAACATAGAGATCAATCATTCGTTTTAAGAGTAGTATACAATGTAATGATTAAATACTAAATAAATCAGTTATTAATAAACTAAAATTAAAAATAATTCATATTTAAAGATTATATGAAGGAAGTGCACTATGATAAAATTATTGATTGAAAACTATTATAAATAGATTTGTTGAATTGCTTGATACACACTATAGTATTAATATTAAAGTATATTTGGTTTACTTAAATAATCTAGTCTATATAAGTTATAAATTAATGTTCAATATTTAAATTATAAATAGGGTTTCAGTTACTTATTCTATTTAGTTATTATTTAGAAGCCATTGATAATTTTTTTTATCTTAATTCAATACATCCCAATAAAGTGGAATACTAATTTTAAAATTTTAATTTGCAACTACATCATTTTATAAAATACAATTGAAATGTTTGAACACGCATTTTAAAATTTTATTTATATGTAATTTATTGATTAATTGTATCATTGTATTATCTCAATAAGGGAATTATTTTAATATTTTCATATCTAAAAATATAATTTGAACTCTAAATGTTATGTATATACCTATCTTACATTAAACAATTTATAAATACTTTTACTTTATATAACTAGGTTATAAAAAATTTCAGATTACCATTACCAAAAATTATAATATATTATTTAGACATCTTAAATAATTGTTATGCTTGATAAAACAAATTTTTTTAATTACTTTAGTTACTTTTAAATTCCTTGCTTTACAGTTGGTATCATGGTTCCATTACGCGAATTGAAGCAGAGGCTGTTTTACGACTATTGCAAGAAGGGAGTTATTTAGTACGAAACAGTGAATCGACTAAACAAGATTATTCATTATCTTTAAAGTAAGTTACATTGTTACATTGTTTCATTCAAAGCTTCCTAATTGCTATCATACAATTTTAATAAGCATTTTAATTGTTTATTTAAAAATACAGAAGCGCCAGGGGGTTTATGCATATGCGCATTCAAAAAAACAAAGAAACTAATGCGTTTATACTTGGACAGTTCAGTAAACCATTTGACAACATACCCAAAATGGTACGACATTTTACGATAAATCAGCTACCTATTCGTGGTGCTGAACATATGTGTCTTTTGCATCCTGTCATAGTGCAATTATTGTAGCGCATCTATTGCACTGTATATTAAATACATCACCTAAGATTTTTAAAAAAGTGAAAAAAATTTCATATAAAATAGGCAAATAAGATTTTAATTGCAAGTAAAGAAAATTTACATGTGCATCTTGGTAAAATTAACTGTATAAGACATTAATGGTTTTTTCAAAATTCTCAAGAAACATAAATTAGAGAAATAAAAAATTAGATAAACTTCTGTATTATACTTAATGCAAATTATGGTTATATTACTAAATTCATTTTATATAACAGGTAAATATAAAATAAAATATAAAAGTTACAAATTTTAGAAAAAATTGTAGTTTTTAAACAAATTATATTTAAATATATTTTCAAAAAATGTTATGATATCCTTTGATGAATAAATTCATGTTTTTAAAATCATTTTGTTTTACGTATCATTTCTTTGAACTTAAATAAGAGTAGCATAATGTTTGTGTTAGGGAAATAGGTCGGGTTATAATATGTTTTACAATTTAAGAAATCTTTAAGCATATATTTATGAATTCAATAAAATGAATTAAACTTTTATAATTTAACTGTATAATTTAAAAAACTATGCCAAATATATCTTTCAATTTCTAAGTAAAATCTAAGAAATATTTAATTATTATTCATTGAATCTTAATACTAGAATTTTGTTCAAATGTTTGTATTATTAGTGGATTGATTCTATAATTCATCAGTATGAATATTTGTTAGAAAAAGCCTTAACTATTAAATGATTTTTATTAATTTACTTCAGAGTTGATAATTTTATTGATGAAATAAGTTTAAATTAATTTAAACATAATTAAGTAATTAAATAATTTTAAAAATTCCTAAAAAGCAATTAATAGATATTTTTGTGATATTTATTACAAACTTAAAATATAGTTCCATTACAAATCTGTTATTCTAATTAATTATTTTTATTATAACTATAAATATATTTATAACATATTTATTGAATGCTTAATGTATATAATATATGTAAAAAAAATTTTTTTATCTTATTTATGAAATTGTAATGTATTCATAAGAAAAGCAAAGTAAATTATAAAACTTCTATTGTGTATATTCAATGTAATGTAAACACAAATAACATATTTAGTTAATAATAACATATATAGCATAATAAGCACTTGCAACAGTATTGTTCTTTTGACTTCTCTTAGTAGGTTAAGTTACTGTTCTATTAACCAGGAATATTGTATGTACACACAATTGACAAAAAGACAGTATTAAAAATAAATAAGTAGAAATAAAAACAAATATTTAAATGTGAATGAAATTTAATATTTGCATTCACTATAGCATACATTAGGTTTCGTTTTGTACTGTATTTATAAAAACTAGTATATAAGCAATTGTGACATTTATTAACGTACCACTAAGAGTGTACAAAAATATAGTGGTAATACAAAAAATATTTATCATATAAGCTATTCTTTTAAGATACAACTATATACAAGATACAATAATAACATAAATAGAAAAAAATATAAATTTATAATACACATCAGCATACACATATCTGTATGTTCTAATAAATTTAATTACAATTATATATTTAAAAAATTATGAATAAATCTTATAGAAATTATGATTCAAATATTGTGCAATAACAAGATTTATGAATAAAATTAGTTAATTACAAATAAATACTAATATCCAATTATTAATAATTGTGTTTAAATTATTTATAATAATTTTAAAAAATTTCAATCGATTTCATTTAATATTACTTAATATCTTAAGTGTACATCAATAAATATAATTTAGTTAAATAAATTTTCATTGTTTCCAATGAATTATCTTATGATTATGTAATATGTATCATTAAATTAATTTAATATTTAATATGAATCAATATATTTTTAGGATTTATTTATTTTATATTGATATTATAAAATTGGTTCCATTATCTGTTTTTATAATATTAACTACTAATTACGGAATATAAATGATATTTGAAAATGCAAAATCAACAAATATTTTATATACAATAAATGTTTTCTATTTGCTTGATTAACTATAATTTAGATTTTGATATTGAATCTTATTGTTTATCTTCAATTTCCGATAGTATTAATCAACTAAATAGCTTGCAAGTGTAGTATATTTTTATTCAATAAACCATCTACCTCTATAAATTCGGCCATCAGTGCCTTCAACAACACCCTCTATTGTTTGTACATTTACATCTGAGCACATACCAAAGTATTTCGTAGCTTTTTGTAATGTTACCCTCCGTTGAGGGCTTACGATCGTATGATTTCCGCCACTATATCGATTACAAAAATAATTTCTGGAAAAAAAATCAAGTCAAATTATTCTTATCACTTAAATATATTTTACTATATTTTATAATTTTTATTTTATAAATAATTACTAGTTAAAATATCTGAAAATTGTAAAATATAAATATATACAGAAAATTTCCAATATAAGTAATATATAATCATGAAAAAAAATAAAAATATAAGATTGTATCAGAACTGAATAATCTTCATTTATAGTAACTATTATTCTATAAATATAAATACTACCATTATTTTATTTTGTACTTTAAAATTGAAAACCTTAGGTAAAATTGCTTTCAAAAATATATTTACGTAGACATACATACATGAAATATACCTCGTAATTCTGTAATCATTTATTTGTTAAATATACTGTTGTACACATAAAAAAGTATATAAAAACTCTTATTATTTTTATTACATTTGAATAATAAAATTTAGATATATTTTGAGAACGAATGATTAGATATATTCTAATTATGCACATTTTAGTACATATTCTATAAAAGATAAAAAAATTTTAAATTAGTAATAAGTATAAACCTACTTTGGCATAATTTCAATAAGTCCATATTTATATTTTTCCGAATTGGCACTCATAACTTTTTCCAAATTAATGCATTTTTTTCTTTGTCGTATTTTTTTATCTCTAATATGATCCATCTTAAAAGTTAAATAAGGTTTAATACTGGGTTTACATGGAAATGGTCGAGCATTAGTAATAATCTTTAGATTAGTTTCCATAAAAGCATTCTTATCGCATGATATACAACGAAGATTCCTAATGGAAAAATAATTATTTTAGTAAATTAATCATATACTTATAATTATATATTAAAAAAAATGTTATTTCAAATAAATTTTTAGAATAGTCGACTGTTTATGAATTGTAATTAATAAATATGTAATTCTTTGTAATTACCTAAGAAATTTTTTAGCTCCAGCAGCTTCCTGTTCTTGTTTTATATCAGAAAGAAGACGGATTTGGTTTTTTAAGGCTTGCAATTCATTTTTGATGAAATCTTTCAATGTTGGAATTTCAAGTTCATCAAGTTTACCTTCAAATTCACAACGTAGTTCACAGATAGATTGTTGACAAAGTGATTCTTGTTGACTTAATTTTGTGATAGCTTCATTTAATGTTCGTACAAAATCATCACAAACAGCATTAAATTGACTATGGGATACCTAAGTATGTTTAGAATATCATTGAAATTAGGTTAGTTATGATTAAAATGTTTATTTCTAAACCTTTTTATTTAAAGCGTATGTATCTGGTTTATCCGCAAGAGCTTCTTCAACTTCTTCTTTATTAGCTTTAATTATTTTTAACAAGTCAAGTTTTTCTTCAATCACCTACGAATCAGAAATATATTTATCAATTAGAAATTTAGTTGATTATTGTTTGAATTATATTATGATAAATATAAGCTGTTTTTATAAATAATAAGAATAAAATATATTTTCTTAAAAGCAAGCCTAATGATACATTAATAATAATATAAATTTGTTATATTTTATTCTTCAATAAACTAAAAAATATAAGTTTATGCAAATTACTTACCTCATTTTGCTTTTCTTTTACGATTTTATTATGTTTTAATTCCAATAGATCTTTCTTTATACTTTCGAAATCTAACTGAATAGCGTATACGTATTTGTTAAAATCCACTTCGTTTTTATTTTGCGATATATCATTCATATTTTTTAATGATCCTTGAACATATTCTTCGATGATTTGTAAACGCTTTTCAACAGAATTAATAGTATTTATTAAATTTTTTTCTAGAAAAGAAATTGTCTCAGTGCAACCAGATGGTTTCAGATTACTTTGTTCTTGTTTGATGACATTTTTTTTTTCATCTGTGTTATTAAATGATACATTGCATTTCTTTGAATTATATTTTCCAGTTTTATTATTCATTCCTATTGATTTAAAAACTTAATTACTTTTTTGTAAATAATTAAATGATTAATTTGTGATTGGTTATATATTTCACAAATGCAAACGTATTTAATAATAATTTTTATTTTTATGCATACTTTGTCCTGAATGGATTTTATAAATTTTTTTTCGTAAATTGCAAATTTCTTCATTTATGTGATTTAAAGTAGTTGAAATCGACATTATTTCATTTTGTAATTTTTTATAATCAATTGTATCTAAATATATAGAAAAAGAAACAATGTATAAAAAAAGATTAAATACTATTTATTAAAAACAAATATTGATATTTAATTATTAATATAAGCTAAAGTGTGTTATTTATAAAAAATTATTATAATAATATATACATTAGAAGTGAAACTTTATTAACAGTTTAAAAAAAATCTATTTTTTATAAAGTACGAGCATACATTAAAATATATTATCTAAATTATAAGGAAATATAAGCATTATCAAAACCAAATTATTTTCAGATGAGTTTCAAAATAAAAAATTGGGTATTCAATTATAAAATTCAGTGCATTATTATCAATATTATATATAATTATTAAGATTTAATTTAAGTAATAAATTATTTATTAGTTACTTTTTGAAAGTTATTTCACAAAAGAGATTTAAATCAAAGAAATTAAATGGATTATTTGTTTTAGTTTTTAATTTTCATTTTTCCTCAAAATCTATAAAAAAAAAGCATAATAAACGAAATGGAATGAAAACGATCAAATTTTATCATAATACCTAAATAATTCAGATTTAATTTTTTAGTTCATTTTTACATAGAATAATTTTTTATAATTATTTATGTTATAATAATCACGAACGGCCATTTTAATAAGAATTTATAATGATCAATATATTTTTAATACTAACTTCTATTTTTAACATTCTAAATTATTAAAAGTATTATTTTTGTATTAAGTTTTTTAAAACTAATATGTCGTAATTTTATTAATAAATAATAGCCACGTGTATTGGTATATTTTCTACATCTATTATCATGAAAAAAAAATTACTGTAAAATAAAATTACTGTATCAAAAATACACTTTAAACAAGAATTTTTCAGGTAGCATATTATAATAAATAAATTTAAGAAATAAGATACTTTCTAGCGTTAATTTAAAAAATACTATTACCAAAATATTAACAAAACAATTACAAACTATTAACAAATTATTAATTTTTGTATTTCTGAGCTTCAAAATAAAGTTTGTCAATTATGTTGTTTAAAAGAAGTGAAAAAAGTGAAAAAATAATACATATTTTAACATATTTAGAAATCATACTAAATAAGTTTACTTTAAAAGTTAAAAAAAATTTGTTAGTATTTACAATTATAATTTATAGTATTTATTATATTAAATAAAAACCTATATGAATCAACTTTTTTCAACAATTTTTATGAAAACTAAATACTAGGTACGAAAGTTGTTAACCATCTATATATCATATTGACTTAATAAAATAATATCTGAAAAGATCATTTTTTTAAATAAAATAATTTGAATTTGATTTGTTTTAATAAATTTCATTATTTTCATGTAATTTGTATACATTGTTAAAACAATGCTTTTTATTTTTTACTATATTTTTGATTTTTAAAATTGGAAAAATTATTATATTTTAAAGATTAATATTCTAACCAGGTAATTAATTAAAAGTCGTTATTGCCTTTGCAATAATTATAAAATTATAAATATTTTTTTGGTAATCATATGTCTATTAATAAAATCTATTTAATATGATATTTATTTATTAAATAATTTGATTATTATTATATCAAATTAATTAAATATTATATATATGTATAATAAACACAAAATATTATACTTATAAAAGCATCTTTTTATATAAAATATTGAATAGATATTAAAAATGCATCTGTATCATATATTATAAATCAGTGGGATAAGAATGCGTCAAATTTACCAAAATTCAAAAACAAAAAAGAACACCCTGAAAATTGAATTATACAAAATTTCTTCGTTGTTATATTTTATCTATATAATGCAATCATCATTTTCAAAGCACAAAATTATTTTAAATAAAATTTTAATTAGGCATTAAAATAATTTCACTTTTATGATGCTGCATTATATGAATAGTTGTTCACTTATTTGTTTAATTATGTAATTATAATCCGATTTGTTAGAAATAAAAACATAATTGATTACAGAAATTAGTACATTAATTTTTATTTAACAATACGAATTGTAAATAAATAAATGCATATAACCTAAAGCATGCTGATCTAATTCGATTCTGTGTTCAAACGGTGAATTATTTATATCCAAATGAAAATGTTTTACAGATATACTTTTGGTCAATTGTATCTGTTCTTGATTTTGAGAATTAGAGAAGGCCATATTGTTAATATTTTTAATAGCGATATTTTTCTTTCTTTCACTTTTAACATTATCGTCGAACGAAAATTTTTTTAGGTTACTAAATGAATCAACATTATCTTTTATATCTGATAAGTTTTTATTTATATCATTCATCTGTTCAATAATATTACCATCACCAACTTGTCGATCAATTTGATTATCTTTTTTAAATTTATATTTTTGTATTTCAATTTGATTTTAGAATATGATTAAAAATTTTACAAATATTTATACAAGACAAAATTCATAATATTTTAAATTATTAATTTATTAATAATTTTGAAATGAATTTACTAAAAATAAATTTATTGTTATAGGATATCTACATTTGAAATTTGATATATCTTAATTGTAAGAAACATGACGGAAAATTGAATCAATTATAAACAATCCTACATATACATTTATTTATATTTACCATTAATGTCAACATCTTTTTTGGTGTCTTTTATTATTATCTTCATTATTTTGTTACTCTCAATTATTTAAATTATTTATTTTGTATTTCTGGAAAAACATACTTGATTTGAAATTTTCAAAAGATATTTTCTATAAAATATGATATAACTGATGTAGTATTTATGTTAAAAAAAAATACTGAAAATAATGCTTACATCGGTGATGTATATATATAAACAATTATTATTCAGAAAATTATTTACGTTTGATAAAAACATTTTATTGAAAAGTAAATGAAATTATTATACTTAATTTTTTAAAATTTAATTTATAAGTAAAAAAAATAAAAAATTCACTTAATAGATTATAAATGTTAATAAATTTTTATTTTTAAACTATAATATCTAAAGGTATAATACATATAGGAAAGAATAATATGTAAATTGTATTATGAACATTATAATATTGTAAAATGTACTATGCATATTATATTTCATGAAATATCTATTCATGATTTTAAATAATTGTGTATCTAATAATTATTAAAAGCTGGCATAAGTTTTTATCAACAGTGAAAACATTCTCTTATTAAAACTTATTTCTATACATAACCTTAATGTATATACAAATATTGATAGAATATAAATTTTATTGATTTTGTATTAAAAGTATTACAAATGATTAATGTGTGAAAATGACGTGTATATATGTTTCTTAAGTGAATAAATGGGTACACTAATAATTTTATGTATAATAAACAAATAGATAATTCAAATGATTAATAGAAATTTAGCTAATAATATTTGATTCACTTTGATACTTATTATATGATGATAAATTGAGTTTCATTAAATTCACAAAAATTGTTATATATACATGTTTATTAACTATATAATATAGTTTGTATATTATTTTATGTATTTTTTATTTTCTTCCTTTATTTTAATAATGTTTAAAATTGATAAAAGCAACAGAAAACTTTTAATGAGTAGGAACAATAATTTACAAATATATTAACATTAATTGGCATTATAGCAATAGACGAGAATAATGCAAGTTGTGATTTTCTAAGTTATAATTATATATAACAAAAACGTAATAAATATTTAAGCTGTCCTTAAGAATAATTGGAAAAATTAATAGAATTGCAATTTATGGATTTGAATAAATGCAGAAATTATGTTTATTATATTATTATATTAAATTTTAGCACTATACATAATATATAAGTAACTGAAATTAATAGATTTATTATGTATTTTTAAGAATAAGTACCATTTTCTTAATGATTTAAATAATCTCTAAATATTTGTTGGATTCACAATATAATTATGTACATCATGAAATATTTGTATGTACCAAATGTATCGAAAAACATACCTTTTATTTAAAAAGTAATTAAAAATTATTTAATTAATAATATTCATTTAAATAAATACTTTAAGAATTAGTAATAATTAAATAACAATTTTTTTATTAAAAAATCACAAAAAAAATTATATTTATATGTATATGATGTAACTGACCAAAATCAATTAATGTGAACATTTTTAAACATTTATGATGCTATTTGAAATCGTATTTTAATAAGTCCAATTTATTTCATATGTATTTCATATTAATATATATATTTTTAATTCAATTTTAATTTAAATTAATAATTATTTTATGAGAAGACGAAGATGTACAACTAGTATACAGACTAGTATGCAGACAAGAACTGTAATGTTCTTTTCAGAGCACGAAAGGAAAGAGTCATAAATTCTCAATTCGCAGTAAATGGAATAAAGAGCAATAAGAAATATATGTGCAATAAGCAATAAGAAATGTATTAACCCCTCCGCTTGCCCACGCATTCTCCCACACATCTAGTGGTTTTTCTTAGTTAATTCTAAACGTTTTGTTCTTTGAGCCAGATTAATGGAATTAATTTTTATACAGATTATTATTAATACTTATAAAAATATTTTTAGTTATTTATTATATAAAGTATTTATTTTACAAATTGCAAATTATAATAATATATTGCACATATTTATATAAACAGTATCATTTTACTTTATATATATATTATTATTCGTATAAATTACAAGATACTATGGAAGGCAGAATTTACTTCATATATTTTTTTAAGACAAATTTAATTTTATCACAATACATTAAATTGCTTCATTATTTTATTACCATATCATATATTTATTAAGATACCAATCTTATAAAATATAGTACAAAATAGTACCTGTTTTTCAATTTATTATTCTCTTAAAATATGTGAATATTGTAGTGCATCAAAGTAGGATACCGTGTGAGCATATTAAACCTAACTTCTTTAATAAAATTTAGTTTTCTTTAAATTAACTACAAATGTAAAATGACAAATAGTGTAAATTAAAAATAGGGATAACATTTTTGTGCACATACAAATTATTAAATTGCATGAACGATTGATTGAGAATCGAAACTATCTAAAATATAAAAATACAAAAATCATAAAATATATTAAGATTAAAGTATAACATTTATTATTTAGAAAATTATCTGACTTAATCAAATATAACCAATATTGTTATTACAAATTTGAAGCAGTCTGATGTATATTCTAATGCAGCTTAGTGTTTGATATCGATATAAGTTTGAATCATTAGACTGTTTTATATCTATAGATTTGTAGCGGTTAGATGAGAACATTTAATGAAAAAACAGAAAGATAAAGTGTAAAAGATAAGTGTAAAAATCAGTAAAGCAGTATCCATAGTAGTTAAAGTTAAAAAGTTTTTCACTTAAACGATTTAATAAATAACACTTAATTTTAAATAAAATTTTTTAGTATTCATAAATTATATTATTTATAACTTGATTTTAAAGTGTTAAAAGTAAAGGTGAACAATTTTCAATAAAATTTATTAATTATAAAATAAATTGTATCCTATAAAGATCTATAAAATCACATATGAAGACAAAATTTTTATTTAATAAAAAATTTTAATTATACATTAAAAACTACATTAAATATATAAAATCTGCATATCAACCCTTGCTACTGTAACATATTTAACTAGGCTAACGGAATCATTTGTTAATGTAAATATTATTTACTTAAATATTTCCACAATTATTATAAGTTTCCGACAAAATAAATTATTAATTCACCCAAATGATGGAATCTTTCAATAAAAAAAACAATCATTTTATGATTAAAAAATTAACCCTCTTCAATTCTTATTATACCTTATATTTCTATATATTATACCTTATTATATTAATATATTACTATAGGTTATGGCTCCTATTAAAATCAATACGAGAGAAAAATTTTAGGTAAGGAATGCAATCAACTTATAATTCTATTACACTAATCAAATTTTAAAATATAATGAAAATTCTTTATCATTTATAATAAAAAAATATGGGATTAAATTAATGAAATATGGTAATAAAAACCTTTTATACTTCCATAATTCTTAGCAAGTTGTTACTTTATATTGTATTAGAATAATCATAGTAATACATTATGCATTTTAAATTGTATTTCTATTACAACATTATAAAAAGTTGCATATTATAATTAATAAGTTATACATTAAAATATTATAAAGGTTTATTAAATAAATTAATAAAGTGAAAACTGAATGACAATGACAATCTTCATATACACATTTCTTCTTTCGATCACCGGAAGTTAATATAATATAAAATGTAATATAGACTTATCTCGACGTCTTTTTGCATTTTGTATAATTTTCTTTACTGTTTGATTAAAAAAAAATTAATTCGTATATGTTCCGCTAGGTTCGCAGTTTTAGTTTTAATTTTTTGCGTAATCTTTCGGAATTTTTTAAATTAGGCTAATATATTTATTTATTTTATAAAATTTCTCTAAGTTATTTTTTATTTTTACTTACTCCAATATATTAATATAAAAAGTTTTGCACGACTTCTTTAACGTACATAACAATTAAATTACTTTCAATATACATTATTTAAAATATAAATATTTAAAAAACTGTTTTTCAAATAATTTGTTGTATTTGAAATATTAACAGTTACCTAATTTTTTATTACAACAATTCCTATGCGCAAATGTTTAAATTATGTAGTATATATATTTTTAATATTTATAAATATGTAGTTTATACAGTGCTAAAAGATTTCGCTTTTACAGTTTTAACATGTATACATGAGAATAATAGTTCAATGTGAAATTTTATCACATTGAAAATGGAAAATATGCAGGCTTGCTGTCTTGAAGGATGTGAAAGTTATAAATATATTACAAAACAAAAGATAGGCTATTTCAAGTAAGTTTTTGGTTATACTTCACTCACTTTCTGTTAAACTTTATATTTATCGACCTATATTTATCGATTTATATTTATTGATAATTACATATTTCTCATTTTCTTTCAATATTGTATTTTTAATGACACTCTACATTCAAAAAATATTTCAATATTAAAGCTTCTTTAAAAATCATATGTAATTTAATTTTTAAATTATTAAATTTTTTAACAAATATTAAAAATAAATATGTAACAATATGTAAATAAATGTTAAAAATTTACTTAAAAAATTATTTATTTGCAAAAGATATAAAACTTGAATATATTAAATCATTTTTAAGCCTTATATCTTATTTAGATAAATATTTTTAGACCACAATAGTAAAAATATAAAATTATATATTAAATTTATATATTACAATTTATAAATTCATATAATTTAGTAATTAGAGCTATTATTTATCATTTTAATAATATTGCATACAATGATATAAAACTATATTTATATAAAAACAATTAAATTCATAATAAAATATATGTAACCTTATTTATACAAATTTTTATAACAAACATTTATTTTTTCTAATAGTTTAATAATTTAAATGATGAAAAGTTTTTTTTTTATCATTTTGTTTCTGAATTAGAAAATTATTTATTAGTGTTAATTATTTAACCTAATAGAATAAAATAGCATTTTTTAATCTCTTAATTTAAGTTAAACTTTCAAATAAACTAATTTAGTATAATTTTGTTATAGATTTCCTACTCGAAATAAACCATTACTTCAAAAATGGTTAAGTCAAATCAGAATACCAAATTGGCTTCCCACAGACAATCATAGAATATGTAGTAGACATTTTCATATCGATGATATTGATTTTTCACACAAACAACCTAAGTTAAAAACTAATGCCATACCAATGATATTTCCATTAAAACATTTTCAAAATATTTATATTGATAAAATAAATACTAATGCTATCCAAGGAATGAAAACTAATGTGTATTTGAATAAAATAGAATCAACACACCAAATTATTATGAGTAACCCTAATAGTATTCTACACAATCCAACGAAGTCATCATCGATGGTATTATTATGTACACCAACAGAAGAATCAAATAATATTTCAAATTTACAAATAAGTTCATTGTCAACTTCTAATATATCTATGAAAAAAATTCCTATAAAAAATGATCTTATGAAATGTTGTAATTCTAAGTCTCCAAAATTATCCACTTTAAATCCATATGTTTTAATTATATCTGATAATAAAGAACCAAAAATACCTTTTAAAAATGTATCTACGAAGAAAACACACGCAATATTGAAACTACAAATTGATAAAAAACTGAATACTATTACACCAAACAATTTAATAATAGATTCTGTAGTGGAAGAAAATCGATTTAATATCATTAAACGGAACAATAACAATGTATTGAATACTAGTTCCATGGAAGAAATTGAAGTAGATGATATCTCATCAACCAAAATTGTCGTTTTTAAATTTGATTCATCTACTGGAAAAATTACAGTACTGAAAAAAGAAAAATTTGAAAAAAATACTGAAATATCCAGAGAAACAATAGATGTGAAACAGTCTTTTAAATTTGATATAATTAAGTAAACATATATGCTTATTAAATATATGTAATAGAATTAATTTTGATAAATTATCTTTAATTATATTTACAATTATTTTAGGTCTTCTAATAATAATATAAAAAATAGGTATTCACATGATGATTTAATTAAATTAACAATAAATCAACATAAATTAATAAATGTCAAAGAAAATATTGAAATGTTAAGTAGTACTCCCATTATAAATTCAAATTCTGGTGTAGAAAATATTAATAAATTAAATACAATAAAAAATATAGAGAGTTTGCAAAATTTTATTATAAATGAGAATTTAGAAATTGAAAATAATAGATATGATAAGAGACTAATAAATCCTATTGTTAAAACAACAATCGGACAATCGAAAAATAATCAACATTTAGATCAAGATTTATGTATAATAAAACATTATATACAAAAAAGAAAATTAGATGTTAAATCCATAAATTCGAAAATAAATAAGTATGAGGAATTCAAAGATACTAAAAAATTAAAGAGATATTAAATTGAACATAAACTTCAAACAACGAAAGGGATCAATTGGTGTTAAAGAAAGTTTTCTATAAAAAAATGACTTAGTTTTTAAAATGTATATAAAATATTTTTAATATAACATATTTTTATGAAATTTCATTAATTTTAATATATTTAGTATAAAAAGATAAATTTAATAATTTATCAAAAAACTGTCATTGAAGTGTTTTTAATGAGGTGTATGTATACATTATTAATTGTAAATAAAAAACATTTTTATAAGTATTTAATTAATTTTTATTATGATTTATATTAATTAATTTTAAGATAATTTTGTACAAATTCTTTAATTATTCAATTTTAAATATTTTGTTTTAATAATATAATTGAAAAGTTTTTTTGAATTTTATTTAATTAGAGAAAAATTAACTGATTTTTTAGTAAATATTAATTACACTGATTTTATTCCATTTTGTGTATCAGAAGTGAATCCTTAGAATAAAATGTATTACTTAAATAAGTATCCACAGAAATATTTTTTATGGGCAAAAGAGATTTGATGGGTTCAATAATATATTTTTTATTTAAATAAGATATTTCCTATTAAAATAATATACTTTAATTATATAACATTTTTAATTTTTATGTATATATTTACTTACTTCTTTTTGTAATTGACTAACCGAAGTTCCAAAATATGTTGCTACTTGATTTGGTGGAAATAAAGCATGAATACAGAATTGAATATAAGGAATCAATTGTTCACTCAAGCATTCAAAAAACTGAACCATATTTTGTTTATCAACTGGCATTAAAATCTAACATTGAAAATGATTTACCCATCTATTTAATTAATTCACATTTTAATATGTCAAAAAATACATACCTGATCTCGATTTTTATAAAAAGAAAACATTGTAATGGCAAGTATACGTAATGAATTTTGTAAGAAAACAGTAAGTGATTGAACTAAGGCTATTGGAACATTTAATCTCAGTTCATTAAATAGCGCTATTAGATCATTGCAATATTCAGCAAGAGGATAGAATTCTACTAATTGCTCGGGTGGATTTTCCTAATTTTATAACAATAATTGTAAATATAATAGTATGCAAATTATTATAAATTAATTAATTTATATAAAATTGTGTAGGTACTGTTATATGAGTCAATTAAATATTAATAAAATTATTATCTTACAGACTTAATAACTGGCACACTTTTTATATCAGATTTTTGCATTGTATGAGCTAATGTAAAATTTTCAAGATTCTTTTCAAATTTTTTAGTAGATTTCAATATATTACTTTTAATTTTAGTATCTATTATTTTTATAAAAATATCAGCTATAAGACCTGTAAAATCTGCTCCAACCCTACCAAAAGATAACCCAAAATATGTACATTGACTAAGAATTGAATCAATTGAATTGACACATGGTAAATCTTGCTCCAAAGTTGTAAGAAATAGCAAAACCTTTTATCAAAAGAAAAGAAAATAATTTTAAAAATATCCAAATCTATTTTATAAAATATAAGTTACCTTTTCTTTTAACCATTGATAAAAAATGGCAGAATCATTGATTGTACTGCCTCTATCAAAAGTAAGATAATCATTGAATATTGCTTTATATTGTGTTACAATATTGAACAAATGTATTCTTGATAGTTCAATTGTTCTTGTTAAATGAGCATTGGCTAACAAAATTAACACGTAAATAATTGATTTAAATACAAATATTTGTAAAAATTATACATACTATCTTTTGTAGAAATAGAATTCAAAAATATTTGAAACCAGTAATCACGAGCTTGAATAAATTTAATGCGCAATTCTGAATCTGTAAATGCATCCATAGAACGTAACAAGCCAATCAATTGCAAACATTTTGGGAGAGACAAATCATCTTTTAGCGAAGTAACAACTTGTTTTACCATTAGAATCCAACAACTTTCTAAGTCATTTATTACGTTCTACAAATAAAATGTTTGCTATTTTTTATATAATTTTTTTTTTATATATAAATGTTAGGCAATTAAATCATTTAATTACTACTATAACAGGTATATCTCCATATTTTCCATTAATATATTTTGCATATTGTGATATATCTAAAGCTTCACTATACTCATTATTTTGTAAAAATGACTTCATTAATTGAGGTAATTCTAAAATTTCAACAAGCTGTGCATTTTTGCTCAATATTAAGTTATTTAACCTCCTATGTATATTTACTTCTTCTGATATATTACAAAAAGACTTACACTGATTTATAAATTGTGGAATCTTGTCTAATAAATCATCCAATTTGTCTTCAGTTTGATTAAACTACAAATAAAATTCCAAGTTAGTTATAATTAATACTTGTTATAATATAACATAAATTTTAATACTTCTTTAAATATTTCATGAAAAATTTGAGCATTATGAACAAATGTTATATAGTTAGATGAAATTAAATCCTGTATGCTCTGTTGAATAACAATTCTTTTATCTGTAAGACGATCAGGTTCTTTAGCTAAAAATAAATATATTGAATAATATATTTATACACTGTATATATAAAAAGATTTAATAATTAAAAATATATTTATAAATAATCAATCATTTAACTATTACTTACTTAACTCATCTATGTCATATTTTCCAATTTTAGCTAAATATTGATAAAACTCTGAATTTTCCTTCCATGATTCTAAATAAATTAAATATTTATATACATTAAAAATAAGTATTTAAATTAAATATATTTACCTGGAATACCACAAGGAAATAGCAATTCAATAATTTTTTCAGTTTCAATGTCCATTTCATTTACAATATTTTTATAGTGATTACATGAAAGGTATATTGCTTTATATAGATTATTTCGATATAAACGATATTGTGATTTCAATATAAACCAGGTGGAAGGTATATTATTTTATATAATTTATTGCAATATAAACGATATTGTATTATTTATACTCAGAGATGCGTATGAAATAACATATAAGATATATCGACTGAGAATTATATTCTCATTGGTTAATGTATCGTAATATCAACACATTCCAAATAAATAAACGAAAGAGAATAAGTTCTATCAATAAAATTAAAAAATATATGTAACAAATTGAAAAATATTTTACTTTTAGTTAAAATGATTATATAAATATTATATTTAGAAATAAAAATAAAACAAATGATTTCATATAACAAATCCTCAAATCATTGGTAATGGCGCCTTAACAAATATGTTTAATTTCTAAATTAATATTCTATAACTTATATTGAATATATTTTATTTTATTAACAAAAATTATATTTTTATTGAATTTTTAAAGTAGAACTAAGGAAAAAAAATGATGATATTTTATTCTGTGTACAATATTATACTTATCTTGATATATTATAGTTATCGGATAACATTTTTCATTATCCAAGTATTTTTTATATATAAAATTGAATAATTCTATAGTTTATTAATGAGTTTTTTATATTATTTCATATTTACAAATTATAATTTGATTTTTATAAATAATTTAAATGGATATCTTCAATTTTAAAATAAACTTAAAGTTAAAGAGTATATTGTTATACAAATAATATTTTTACAAGACTGTAATTTGTATTAAAATTCGCACAGATATAAGAATCATTTAAAAATAGTTTAAATACTAATTCTTGTTTAACTCCAATAAAGCTAAATTATATAAATGATATAATAACAAGTCATTGTAAAATAAAACATAGATTTTATTTTTATCTTGTACAATTAATATATTATAATTAGATTTTAAGTCTAATTGCTATTCACACTGTATCGATCGTATCTCATCACGAGTAATAATTTTTAACGCAATTTAAAATATGAAATCTAAATTAAATACTTAATATTCTAGAAAGGGTTTCTTATTATTACACTGGCTTTGTTTGAAAATGTATTTGATTTTCTGGCTCGAACTGCCAAGTTCAATAGTTCAATTAATTTGCCACCCGCCTTATCAATGATTAAATAAGGATTAAAGTGGAAGGTCTATAGAGATGTACATTGTGTGCAGACTTCTTTAAAACATAGTTAATTTTGGTTTATTGACAATTACAGTATTGTTATTCTGGATTCACTTCTCATGGGAGACTGTCAACTATGTTCTATCACAACGATGTAGTTGTTCCTCGGTGATGGTGACGATGTTGTTGATGATATTGTAAGGATCAGCAATGGATTGTGTATACTCTTTGAGGAGTATAGATTGGTTTTGTGGTCTGGACTAACGTTGTAAAGACTAGCAGGTAGAGCCGATCATACTCATGCAGGGAGTATGGAATTTGGTTGGTGGTTCGCCTCAATAGAGACTACTGGTATACTTCGTGTTAAGGAGTACTTCGATACTATGCTTCTTGTAGTCAACTATTTCCTTGTACTGCAGTCAGCACCCTTCACAGGTTGTTAACCGGTGCACAGTGGAGAATTGAACGTGTGTTCATTGCTGCAGTGAGAGAGTGTGATCGTGTGACGAGCTCTCTACTGTAGACTCCAGCTTAATATCGTGGCTGAAGCGTAGATGACTGACTAGGACGAGTAACTGATTTGGAGGAATAACAGGCAACGTGTCTTGATGCGCGCTTCTTTAAATATCCACGCGGCAACTAAGTTAGCTGGTAACAATGTTTAGATGTTGCTATGCGGAGACTAGACAGATTTGCAGAACGTTCGTCGATCAAGCTTTAGAAGATTCGAGAATTCCGCGAAAGCGAAGTTTTGAAAGTTTGGAGAATTCAATTGATGTTGCTATGCGGAGACTAGATAAACATTGTAGGACGTTCGAGAATAAGCTATAGAAGCTTCGAGAATTCCAGGAGTCAAATGTTTACAAATTCGAGAACTAGAAGGGTAATAAAATTTCGAGAACCGAAGATATTGGAAAAATGCTCCAATTCCGAATATATTATTTAACAAAGGGTTATATATTTGGTTAAATATATATTATTTGCATTATAAATGTATATTATGTATATTATTTTATGGATACTTTCGTAATTCTTATTATTTTTTTATTGTATTAAAATCAAACAGTTGAACTTACAAGCTCTACCTGAGAATAATATTAAATATCATTTATTGTGCAATAATAAGGCCGATCAGGATCTCTCTATTCTTTAACTTTGTCTATTATTTTTATTTTATTTACATAATTGAATTTTTTTTTTAAAGAAAATAAAATTAAGTTTTTATACGAACTGCATATTGTCATTTTCGTTGTATAACATCACACCATTTTACAAATATCCATACGATTAACATCTACAAAGTTATAAATAAAATATTGCAAAATAAAAATTCTAGAATTATAATTAATTAGTTATAGATAATTAAGTTTTTAATTAATTTTTTCATTCAGTATTTATAATGCCTTACATTTATATTTTAATTTTAATTGATTTTATTTGATTTATAGAAAAAATAATTTCTAAAAATAAATATTTTATTTTATAAGTTATTATCATATATTATTTACATTCAATAATGTAAAGTTAAAAGTGTTAAAAGTATGTAATGATACAAAAGGAGCGGGTTTTTTTAAACACAATTACAAAATTTCATCATCCTTACAAATGACAAAGATACTATCAGTCAATTCATCTATAAAAACAAAAAATAATAAACAGTATCGTAAAATTTTTTTCATACTTGTTCGAGATTCCGAGAATCTCTCGAATGTTTAATTTCTGGAAAAGCCCAACCGTTATAGATTCTGGGAAAACCCCAACCGTTGTTAATCACCTGAAAAAAGTACATAATCGCATCCATCGTTTTCTAGCACTACAATCGCATCCATTATTTTCTAGCACCACAATCACTCCCATTCTTATCAGCATTATAAGGAATATTTAAAAGGAAGCACGCTTCGAGCACGGACTCGCTCACTTACTGTGGACACTATAGTGAAAAAGGTCTATCTGAGTAAGGCCACCATAGAAGGAAGACGCGTCAATTCTCCTGTGCTGCACAAATAAAGGTGTTGACACTGTCTCCTTTATATCAAGAAAAAGCCAGACTACAAAAAAAAACAAGACAAACTCCAATCAAGGAGTGGACACAATTCATAACTGATCCTTGCAAAATCAGTAACAAATCATCACTATCAACAAGTAACATTTGTTATCACAGGACCAGATCAACGCTACTGTATCACTGTGAGTAAACAAAGTATGTGCATAATCAATACTAATCCTTACAAAATTAGCATGACGCTATTATTAACACAGCACAAACCATACTCTAATAAGGAGTATACATAATCATTGCTAATCCTTATAAAATTATCATAACGTTTTTATTAACATAGCACAAAAATACTCACTTTAAGGAGGTGCATAATCAAGTGCTGATCCTTACAAGATCAACAAGAACATCAGCACCATCAGCAACAAGGAGTATCTCGTATTGGTAAATTATTCACCATATGATTAGTTCGAAACAACTGCATCGTTGTAATTGAACATAGTATATAACCTTCCATCACTAAATTCAACACATCAATAATGTAATTCAAGTAAATATAAATTTTTAAACTGTTTACAAGAACTATATATAAAATGCCGGCATCGGATTTATACATAACAATTCAAATAATAACGCTCAGATTGGATAATTGTAAACGAGAGCTTTAAAAAATATGGTGCAAAATAAAAGTAAATCGATGTTAATCAAGGTCATGGCAAGTCAAACAGTGTTTTTCTAATGACATCAATCTATACTATTCATCAATAAGAACCAAAAATAAGATTCGTCTAGAGCCGTGCATTGAAAAAATTACTGATAAAAGTTATCAAAGAGGAGTAAATTATGAAATAATTTATCTGACGTGTGGTGAACTCCCGTATTCGATATGTGATAACAAACATTTTTTAAATAATTAACATTAAATTTTTTCAACAATAAATGTAATAGTGTCGAAACTGTTAATTGTATAGTTTTCTTTATTCATAATTGTTTCTTACGTATATAAATTCGATAAAAATATTGAATTCTGCAAAGTTCTAATAACCATCAATAATAACAAAAAACAACACTTTGTGAAATATCTATTATCATTGATTGAATTTTATATTGTAGGAAATATTGTTTTAAATTAATATTATTTAAATTAAAAATAAGTATAATACAGATAAATACAAAATAATATGACTTTCAAATTATTTTTAAAAATTTAATTGTAATTTAATATAACATTACATCGAAGAAAAACAATGTGTTAAATTTGTTCTTTCTCATATGATAAAAGTATCGGCAAATAAAAATATAAATCACAAGTAAATATATTTAATATATATCTTCATTTTTTGATATTTTATACATCTGCATATGAATATTTGAATATTATAGGCATACATATATATAGTTCTATCCGTGCATGCAATTTTATTACATGAAATGTCATGCTATATATATATTAGTACATACATTTACAATGCGTATGCGAATAAGAATATTACTATTTTTTATTTTAACATTTATATAATTAATGTTTTATATATGATTATATGAATTTTAATTTGAAAATGTTTGTATTACAATTAGACTAGCAAACAAAAAAATCTTTTTTTGAAAGATAAATAGTTCTGTTACATTCTTACTTTTTTAAACACAATATATAATCGCTAAGCCGGCGTTGTAAATTTATATGGATGTATGCATGTACGAATGCATGCCTATATGCACATAAGCGTGTGAATATTTATATATTATATTCCATTGTGCTAGACACATGAATATACTTTTTATTTATAGTGTCTGTTAAGATATCATTTGTTTCAACTTAAAAATTATTTGTTAAAAAATTTACAAAATTTTATTTTGTGTTTAATACAAAATCTTTGTTTTGATCTTAATACGTTTTTATTATTTTTTATTGAAAGATATAATAATAAAAGTATAAACATTTATAGCATGATATTAACTTATGTTTTTATAATTTATGATAAATATTATTTTTTATAAGAATTAAAAAAAATTTTGTATTTAATTTATATTATTAATCGAAATTTAGTTTATTTGTTACTTTTAGAATTCCTATGTACAATTATATCATTTTTCTAACTAACTGTAGTAAACATAAGATTATGTAATACTTATTTATATAATTTATATTTTAAAACTTGTCTATTTTATTGTAAGTTTAGAAATTTTATAAAATTATTACAATGTTGCGTCGTAAAAACCAACGATATCGTGAAATAGGAGAGGATACTAGAATTGCTGTTAATTTAACAATTAAAAAGTTAATGAATACAATTGACCAAAAAGAATTAGAATTTCCCTCATCGTATACTGCTGAAGAAAGAGCTTATATTCATAATTTAGCTCGTCATATAGGTTTAAAATCAAAAAGTAGAGGGTAATTAAATAATTTTAATTATTGTATTAAATATAAGAACATTTATATTAAAACATGATATTGTAGTCGTGGATCTAACAGATTTTTGACAGTCTATAAACGAGAATGTTCCACAATAGTTCAAAAGGATGCAGTTATTAAATTAGAAAAATCATCAAGACAATCAATTTATAATTTAATTAAGAAATTTCCTCTTGATAATAAGGAACGTAGAGACTTATTGCCTCCTACTGAAAGAGAAAGAACAGTTGAAAATGAAGGTACAAATTTCATGTTTATATAAGATAGTACTTTAAAAAAAGTCTTGGTTATCTACTATTTCTTAATTATTTATTTTGTAAATAAGAATATGAATTATTTTTAGTTAATACTAATACTAAGGCAATGGGAAGATTAAATAATAGTATACCACAAGTTCCTCAATTAAAAGTTAATTATGATATATTGAATTTTCGTAATTCATTGACTGTAATTAGTAAAAAAAAAGAAATCATACAAACACTATCTACTAATCAAGTTATTATTATATTAGGAGAATCAGGTTGTGGAAAAACAACACAAATTCCTCAGTTTATTTTAGAAAATTGTCAACAAAATAATCAAGCATGCAGAATAATTTGTACTCAACCAAGAAGATTATCAGCTGTATCGGTTGCTGAAAGAGTAGCATTTGAAAGAGATGAAAAAATTGGACAAACATTTGGTTACCAAATAAGATTAGAAAGTAGAGTTGCACCAAAAACTCTTTTAACTTATTGTACCAATGGCGTTCTTTTAAGAACATTAATGGGTGAAGATTCAGCTTTAGGAGTAATAACACATATAATTGTAGATGAGGTTCATGAACGAGATAGATTTTGTGATTTTTTATTAATTGCATTAAAGGATGCTCTTATAAAATATAGATCTTTAAAAGTGATTTTAATGAGTGCAAATATGGATGTGTCTATATTTGTAAAATATTTTAATAATTGTCCTGTCATTAATATACCTGAAAAACTATATGATGTAGATATTTATTACATAGATGATATTTTAAAAATAACTAATTATATAACTAAAGAAATGTTAATGAAAGAAAAAGAATTTATAAATAATAAACAAAAATGTGAGATTTTAGAATCTTGGATTCAGTATACATTACAATTATCAAAATCTAATAAGAATAAACAAAAATCTTTTTTAGTACCAATTTTAAAACATAATGAAACTATTTTAGAAAAAGTTCAAATAAAATCACGGATAATAGAAAAAATAGATAAATGTATGGCTGATGCATGGTTTTTTAAAGTGGAAGATGATTTGATTCAACTCTTACATTTTATGAATACAGAAAATATTTCTATAGATTATCAACATTCAGAAACACTTGTTAGTGTGCTAATGATTGCTGCAGGCCATGGATATTTAAATATTATAGAACAACTTCTTAACATTGGTATAAATGTGAATCTTAGATCTTGTAATAATTGGACTGCTTTTGATTGGGCGAAACATATGAATCAATTAGAATGTGCTGAATTAATAAAAACTTACATGACAACATATGACTTTATACTGCAAGAAGATGAATTATCAAATATTCAAAATGTATCTATTTCAGAAGACAATAAAATTTTACTTGATATTTATTATAACTCATTTAATGATAAAAATATTGACTACAATCTTCTTTTAATGTTGATTGTACATATTCATTTAAAAATGCCTTTGGGATCAATTTTAGTATTTTTACCAGGATATGCTGATATTATTACTATGAGAGAAAAAATTAATGGTGAAAATAAGTTAAATCAAGGTAATCGTTATAGTTTGTATATTCTTCATTCAAATATGCAAACAAGTGATCAGAAAAAAGTATTTAAACCTAGTACTCAAGGTTTTCGAAAAATTATTCTTTCTACGAACATTGCTGAAACTAGTATAACTATTGATGATGTTGTGTATGTTATTGATTGTGGAAAAATAAAAGAAAAATCATTCGATGCTGAATCTGGTATTTGTATGTTTCGCTCTAATTTAATATCACAAGTAAGTGCTCAGCAGCGAAGCAGACGTGCTGGTAGATGTCGAAAAGGTATATGCTATCGATTATACTCTTTGTTTCATTACTGTAATATGCAACAATATCAGACTCCAGAAATCTTAAGGTTACCTGTACAGCAACTTTGTCTTTATACAAAGCATTTGGCACCTGGAAACACACCTATAGTTGATTTTTTAGAAAGAGCTGTTGAGCCTCCTTCAAATTCAGTAACCAGAAATGCAGTCCAATTACTTAAAACAATTGATGCATTAGATCCATGGGAAGATCTTACTGAATTGGGAAGTCATTTGCTTGATTTACCGATTGAACCACGTTTAGGGAAAATGTTACTTTATGCTGTTGTTTTAAAATGTTTAGATCCTATATTGACAATAGTATGTAGTTTAGTGTATAAGTAAGTATATATAGTATTTATTTAAAATAGAATTTAAAAAAAATCTGTTAGATCATAATATTGTAATTTTAGAGATCCATTTGTTATTCCTTGCCAGTCTAAAGAAAAACAAGCAGCAATGCTTGCTCGTAAAGAATTTGCTGCTAACACTTATTCAGATCATATGGCAGTTTTGAGAGCTTTTCAAATTTGGCAGAATTCAAGAGCAAATGGTTGGGAAACAGTATTTTGTGAAAAAAATTTTGTATCAGCTGCAGTAATGGAAATGGTTGTTGGTATGAGAACACAGCTTCTTGGTCAACTTCGAGCTTCTGGTTTTGTAAAAGCTAGAGGATCAGGTGATATTAGAGATTTAAATTCTAATTCTGAAAATTGGGCTGTTGTTAAAGCAGCTTTAACAGCTGGTTTGTATCCAAACTTAATTAGAGTAGATCGAGAACATGATCAATTGAGAACACAGTAGGTATTCATTTAAATAAAAGAAATTGTGAAAAGATTTTATTTATAACATGGAATAATTTTTAATTTATTTTTTAATTAATAGAAAAGAAGTACAAGTTGTTTTTCATCCAACATCTACTTTAAGAGATTTTTCAAATTTATTTTATCAATCAATGTCAACTCCAACACATACAGCTAATGTAAAATCTTTACCTTCTGATTGGTTGCTTTATGAGGAAATGAGTCATTCGGGAAAATTTTGTCATGTTCAAACAGTCACTATAGTCAATCCAATTACTGTAGTATTATTTAGCGGGCCAGCACGATTACCAATGGATGTTATTTTTGAGGCTGAATGTAAATAAAAGTATTTTATTATATTTAGTTTTTTAATTTTCAATTCAAAAATTAAAAAAATTCAGAAATTTTGTTGTAGTTTCATTATTTCTTATTTGCAGCTATACCAGAAAGTGAGTCTGATTCAGAAGTTGATGAAAGCTATAAAGGTACGACAGTATTAAAACTTGATGATTGGATAATATTTAATGTTGATCCAGATGTTGCAAAATTTATTTTACACTTAAGACAAAAATGGAATGCATTATTCTTACGTCGTATGAAAAATCCTAATAAAATAATGTCTCAGTTAGATGAACAAGTCATTAAAACGTTGATAACAGTTATTACTAATGAAGAACAAGCATGTGGACTACAACAACCATTGGGTATAGGTCAAAGACCTCGACCACTGCTTGTTGATTATTATCCTGCCAGTTCCAGACGTTCAGAAGATTATGAAGACGTAATTATTCATAATAAAATTAATTATATTTCTTTTTAATATAAATAAAAATTTTTAATTTTTTTTACAGAAAAATAATTAGTATTAATCATATATGTAATTAATGGCATAAAGAATACTCATTAATTTAAGTGTATTAAGTTTAATAATGTATTATAATATAATGCTTATTAAATAAAAATGATTGAGTTTTAATTTAATTTAAATTTATAAAATTATCTTAAACTGTAAGATAAAAAAACAAACTTAAAAAAACTTAAATTTTAAGATTATAAATTTAAACAAAGACAATTTATCTTATTTAAATAATGTTTAATTATTTACTTAAAATAACCGAAGCATATTATTAGTACTGTTATAATTAAATATATTTTAATCAAAATGAATTAATTTTGATATTTAGTTTTCACTTCAAATCAATTTTGGATTTTTTCTACTATTATTTTATAAAATTAAATATCAACATCTATATACATTTTTAAGTGTTTGCATGTAATATATGTTAACAAGTCGACATACTTCAGCATACTTGGCTTCAAATGGATGTATTAATTTTCATAATTTAGCTGTATAATAGTGTCTGACCTTTATGAGAAGCCTTATACAACTAATTAATAAAAATTACAAGTTGCTCGACCTAGATAACAATTAGAACTGACTAAATAATCGTCGATTGTTAACAAGAATAGCTGCCGACTTTCGTTTTCACAAAAGATGAGTTTTATGTTGCCTCGTAAAAAAGTAAATGTGAGAACGTATAAAAAGGTTAGTATGGAAAACTGTAATTGACGATCATCAGATTAATCGTGAACTCTTTATCTTCGTCTACCGATTCTCTATAATTATATAATTATTTTATAATTGATCTTCAATTTTTACACATACGGATTTTAATTATTATTCTATTGCATTTTATGCATAGAATTACATCTAGGCGATAGTAGTGTTCTGTGTAAGATAACTAAATACTAGAAACCGAACCCAGCTGCAACATTTCTATGTATTTTGTTTTTTCATAATTCGCTCATCATTGCCAATATTTCTTAAACTTCTTTGTACATATATTGCATCAATTAAAAATGTTCAAATTATAATATCTGAGATTGTATCATTTTTTAATTTTTTTAATTTAATTATATTTTGACAAAAATATTTCCAAATAATTCAAACTGTATAATCGCAAAAAAAATGTTATATCATATTTTTAATATATTTGAATGTTTCCATGTACATATTTCAACATATGTTTGAATTTGCAAATACATTGAAAATCGTGCCCCATACCTCATGGGTATTTCTGACGAAATCATCCGTATTTAGTACATTGCTTTACCATACGTTTTTGAGTTATTAAGTTTATTGTGAAATCGATAATAGTACATCTATTAAAATAATAGAGTTAATAGACTTCTATTAATAGTTATGAATTAATGTATCTTTAGGTAATCAACATATTTTTAGTATTTTAGCAATTATTTTTTAAAATACATTTAATAAATGTAAAAATTCATTAAAAATATTTTTTAAATAATTATCATCGAAGTATAATAGTTTAAAAACATAAGGAACAATCTAAGTTTTCGCATATATTTTTTATTTTTAAAAACAAGTTAAAATTTTACAATGAATTCAGGTTAATTAAAATTATTTTTTTTAATCTATACTAATCATAATATTTGTAAATTATAGGAATATAAAATGATAAATTACTAAGTGAAGTTGAAATTCGTCAACAGTATATTATAATTACTAGATAATTAATCGTGAGTAATAAAAAGTTATAAATTATATAAATATAATTAAAATTACTTAATTTGGCAACAGCTAATCAAGAGATCGCTGTATATATGAAATAGTATATAATAGATAAATAAATTATAATGATGTAACGTTTACTTAATTATAATTAAATCTTACTAAATTTTAAATTAAACTTAAAAATTAAATATATTGAGCTTGTTCTTACAAAAATTACTTTTGTCATTAACAAAAATTAGTTCGTTTACAAGTTCGTAATCATAAATAATAATAGCATAATAATTAACAGCTTTGATGTTTCAGATAATTTTAAACATAATACAAACTTGATTCATTTATTATAATGAACTTACTATGTTTATTAATTATTAACAGATTTTTCAAATAACTAGTTACAAATGCTTTAGGAGTAATCGATTACTTATAATGTAATATTTATCATAAGCACAAATTAGAATTTATGTTGAGTTAAGAAGTTCATCTTCTTTGATTCTTTAATAAGGATATGGCAATGATACATCATCTAAGATAAATTGAACATTGCTATCAATTGTTAAAAGTAATTTGAATGATTCTTTGGTGTTTGGCAACTAATATTTTCATTAGTAAATAAAAGAAGTACATTAACTTAATTAAATCTGTAAATAATTTCTCAAATTGAACTAAATCTTCATTAAGTTTGTTTCTATTATTAGTATGGTATTTTATATTTGTTATTATTACACCTGTAAAATTATTGTCTATATATCTATCTATTAAATTTTTCTAACATTTTGCTTTATAATTTATGAAGACTTGTGGTGCCACACATTGATAACATATTGAGTCAAATCCGAACCTAATTCTTTTAACCTAGTATTTTTCATTATAAATTATATACATCATTTTATCTCTTAAATTTTTTAATTTCGATAAAAATTATTCAGATTTCTTGTCCCAATACTATATAATTATATTTTATATTACATTGTAAGTATTTTCAGTTTTTGTAAAATATTTTTATATCATTTTAGTAATTACCTTTTAAAAGTAAAATATAAAAATGCACATGGATCACTCTGTAGTAAATATTGATCACCTGTTACATTTCATTTCATTACATTTGTACAGTTAGTCTTTCAACATAGAATATAAACTACTAACAGAAATAGTATATAAAATTTTTTATCCAAACTAAATAAAATTTTATGTTGTTTTAAAGAAATGTTATAGAGAATTATTCATTTTTATTTATAAAACATTTTTTTTAATTTTTATCATTAATTTATTTGTAAATATTATAAAAATATTGTATACTAAGGAATATATGAGGGTATTAATTATAATTAATGTGCAAGTGTTTTAACAGATAAAAGCATTTATTTTTTCAAACAATTTGGTAATCAAAAAAATGAATAACAAATAAACTGATTGTATATTGATGAGCGTTTGTGAATGTGTACGTACGAAAACGTTCGCGCGCAAAAGCGCGTATAAGTAAATGGATGTTTACAATTATACTTTTATTTATACTATATGTGAAAGTATAATTATATACCAAATTACATAAACGAATTTTATATTCAAGTACAATGTTGTCAAAAATAGCGTAGTAATTGGCGATGAACTGATTGTAACGTTCCTTCTTCATTTAGTTTCAGTATAATTTCCCTTTTAATATTTATCGCATTTTTCACATATGAAGTTTCTATAGGGTAAAATATGTGTATTTGTTAATAAAATATCGCTTATACAATAATTATTATTAGTAAAAAGTAGTACAAATAAAAAAAATCATTTCAAATTTGAATGTTATATAATAAATAAGAAATCACATTTACAATATAAAGTTTTGCTAACGTTTCTGGTACAAGCTAAGAGATGTCAGTTTAAATTATTTTTATTTAATGAACTACATAAATGATTAAATTTATTATTAGAATGGATTTAGATCATAATTTACTGTTACTTGATACTTAGCACTATTCTTCTTCAAATTTTATTTGGTCTACTGTTATTTTATTCTTAATATAGGCTTATCTTGTATCTCTTAATATTTTATATTCAAATATTAGTTTTAAATATAATTAAGAATTATCTGATAAAAAGGCTAAGTAAGAAACATTAGTGAAGGGGCGTCGCTCATCAGGCACTTTTACACTAATTTATTTCCTTTCATTTTTATTATGCTTATTTTTATATCTTAATTGATTTCAATCTCATAACACATTATAAAAATGGTAAAATACATATTTGCTGAAGAAGTCAGTAAAACTTTAATGTTGTTATTTGCAAGATAGTACATTCCATTTTCAAATATATATATGAAGATTTTAATTTATCGTTAAAATCATTTACATACAACACTACAAAATTTTTAAAAACAAAAACATGTTTATATTTACTGATTTTTTTTTGTACATTATTTATTCATTTTTTTTTTGTTCGATTTGAATAAAGAATTCTAGGTATGTAGTTATGGTTGTTCTCTCTCATCTTATATTGGCCTACATTTTAAAAATTTAATTGAAAACAATATAGTTTCATATTTGAAAACGTAATACAGTCTACATTTCTAATAAAATTCTTTATGTATTTTCTTATTCGTGTATACACACATATAGAATTGACAATATTCAATGTGTACAAGTATTGTCCAACAATCAAGAATGTAAGGCCTAATTATAAATTCTTAAATAACAGATTTACGTTATATATTCCATTGCTCCATCAACATAGGCATCATCCGAAGGATCTATTCTTACAGACAATTTTGTATATCCCAAAGCAATTTCTCTTCTATTTGATATTGTCTGTAAAAATATATTTAAATGTTATATGATATGGTATATTATAAGACTTCATTTTATTACAATCAAAATACAGGATATTTTGTGAAACCCTATGAAATGTTTTATATTAAAAAAAATTGTTTATCATTAAAAGTAATAAAAAAATTTTATTATAAAATATAATATTGTTTGAATGATGAAATGTTGTAAAAGCAAATTCATATTAATTTATATGCATGAGCATTTTAACGCATTCCTTTCAATATTATATCTATAAGCAAATAAATTTTCAAAAAATAACAAATTGTTATAAATAAAAAACAGATAGTGATGTAAACTTTTAATAGCAGTTATAACCGAAACTAAGTGAGAATTTACTTTTTGGGTGCATCACATTGTGGAATTGCGTTTGGTAACTTTTGCGCAACCGCGCAAGTGTACCTGTAGTACGACGAATATTGTAGCAAATATTGCGATCGATGCCATGCAGATAGCTACGGCTATTGTTGTTCCTGCTGTTACAGCAAAATTAATCGACTCATCTTTTACATTAAAATTTTTTTTACTATTCTCCAATTGAAGAACGAGATTCGAAGTTGTTTTGACAGGTATAGACTCCACTCCAGAAACTCTTCTTTTACCAGCCGGAGAACTGTTCCTGCAGCTACCTAGATTTGTTAATTAAAAAATTTATTATCAATACATAAGTATTTAGATACTATAAAAAGAAATTCATTTTGCAAGAAATCAATTAATTTATAATATTGTTTAAAAGAAATTTTAAAGAAAATTTTAACATTGAAAATATATTTGAACTGTATACAAATTAAAATTTTTATTAATACAATTTTATATTGAGTATTTATAAACATAATAAAAATTAGATTTAGCTACTAATATAATAAAATAATATATTCATAATAATTAAATAAAAAATAGTTTTTTAAAAGCAAGAATGTTATAGAGTTAAAAAATATAACACATGCATTTGTAAATATATGACTCATAAACATTAAAAACATCTATATAAAGAAACTATTAATAAATTATTAAATAGTAACTAATGTTTTTACTTCAATAAAATATAAAAAAACGTAAGAATTGTAATCCTTAAATATGTGTATTTATACCGGTCTTGGAATCACAGATGCAACACTCTTCAACCTCATCAAGCTTCTCTTCGTCTTTACAACAGGGTACACATTGATTATTTAATTTATTCAGATGGAGGGGTGGTACACAACTTGAACAGCTGAATTTACCAGACCCAGTACACTTACTGCAGTCCACGTGACAATTCCTGCAGAACTGGGTCAAGGTATCATAATATTGCGCTCCAAAACAGGTCATACACATACCTCCTTCAAGCATTGAGCGTGGTGGACAAGATGTACATTCTAATGGGCCTTCTCCTAAATTAACATGTGTACATATGTCATATTTAATATCAACAGACTGTATATTTAAAATAAGTTATATATATTATATATTTTTAATATTTTTTTTATTCATCAATCATAGATTTTCTATTTGATATTTATTCGTTTTTTATATTTCTTTTTACATTATATAGTTTTATTTCTAAATTATTCATTTTTTAAATATTCTATTATATTTTTACTTTTACTTAAAATACTTTTTATTTTAACAATAATAATTAAATAAAAAAACTATATTTGTATTATGCCCAAATGATAATAATATTAAATTAATAGTGATAAAATATTAAATTTTTTAAAACTATAATTAAAAATTAGGTAATTTTTTTATCTTTTATCTTCACTTATTTTTTCAATAATATTCATAATTAAAATTTGAAATACAATTTATATAATTTTATACTAACATAGAATAGATTTTTTTCTTTTTACCTTTACATGTACGACAATAATGGTGACATTTTTGACAACCATAAGTTGTTTTAAAGTAACCTTCTGGGCATTCTAGATGGCATTCACCTGCAGCCAGTTGCCAACCTTTTGGACAGCTAACACACTGATTTCTTCTTGGCCCAGAACAAGTTTTACAAGATAAATAGCATTTGGCACACCGACCTCTATCACTGTAATATCTTTTTCATAAAAATATTTTAACTAATATTTTAAAATAATATTTTAACTAATTTAAATAAAATATTTATATATTTAATTCTGAGTAATAAAGAACATTAAAATAAAGATGTTAATTTAATTTTATATTTGATAATATTTGAATATGATTAAAGTGTACAGAGTTTTTCAATTAATATAACTTTAAATAAAAAGACAAAGTAATAAAATAATATTATGTATATAAAATATGTATTGAAAAATATAAAAAAATAAATATATATATATATATATATCTACTTTAGAAATAATAATTCACATAGAACACTTGATCATCATTATTCTTGTTGAATACTATCTTTAGTAATGCTTTAAATAAGTAATGTAGAATTTGAAACATAAATATAAAATAATTTTTGAGCCAAAAATATTAGATATTTAAATACTAACCCATGAATACAAGTGGATCTGCACTCTCCACTTTGTAGTTGCAGTCCATTTCGACATGAAGTACAATTGAGTTTAGAGACGCATTTGGAACAAGTGTGTAAGCAGGGTACGCAAACCGACCTAGAACCTTGTATTTCATTGTAATATCCTGAATCACACTGAAGAACACAGCGCTTATTTTGAAGCATTAAAGGACTTTGACAAGTTATGCAAAAATCTTCAGTAGACCCGGCACAAGTCTTGCAGGTGGAATGACAAGATTTGCATTCGCCATCCTCATAAAATTCGAAACTTTTGCAACGAGAGCCAAATTCCGGAACGCACAAATCTTTCTTGTTTAGATTCCAGCCAAGTTCGCATTTTGTACAGCTTTCAACTGTACAGTTAGTGCAACCTAATGGGCAGGTGACACACTCTCCACGTTTTTTATCAGCAATGTAACCATTCGGACAGGAGAGTCTGCATTCGCCTGTAAATATTTAGCCACGTTTCTTTCTTGTAACTGTATGCTGCATTTGTCATCCTGTCAAGGTGTTATCATAACTTTTTACTAATTAAATTCTTTCATATTGTAGTAAATAAATTAAAATATAAATTCATTATAAATTTATATTTTTTATAAATTATTTGTAAACTTTATCAAATAAATTGCTTAAAATATCCAATTATATTTATAATTAATTTGAATTTTAAACTTTAAATAAGCAATAAATCGGTATTAGTATTTTAATTCTTTTATATTTCGTACCTTTGATAAAGTTATTAAATGTAATTATAATCGAGTGAATTATAAGTATAAATTCATTTATTTAAACATAAATTCTTTAAATTATTTGTAAGCCTAGAAACTACTAAATATTTTATGCCACACTTCAATATAAAAACACATTGTAAATTAAAAAAATTTTTAAAAATATAATAGAAAGAAAAATATAGAAAATTTTATATTATCATATAACAGTTGTACACATTCTTATCAAAATATTAGAATTTGTTGACATTAACAAAGATAACATTGCTAATAAATCAATTTATTATGCTCTCACCTTGAAAAGAAAAGAGACCCGATCGACAACTAATACATTGATTATTAGCAGTGCCATTACATGTTTCGCATGTAACATGACAAATCGCACAATTATAATCTTGAGTTTCATACGTGTATAAAGGACAGGCGGCATAACACTTATTTTCATGAAGAACCAGATGATGTTCACAACTAGTACAATGATCAGGCCGATTTGAGCAACTTGCACAATTTGCTTCGCATGGTACGCATGTACTGTTTTCTGCATCTATTAAATAAATTATCACAAAGTGTAAAAATATTTAATTAAATAGCTTTTTAAAGTATTTGTATCTGAAGAAAAATGCACATTATTTATATATTTTTCAATATGGCTATATTTAATATTTATATTTCAAATTAAATAACCTTATAAGAATACCGATTATACTTATATATTTGTAATATAAAATTAAGATTTAAAATGATCTACTTCATTATATAAGCAGTAAATTTATTAATTATAGGTATTGTAGAATTTGATTCGAATATAAAATGAAAAATATTATAAGTATATATATATATATATATATATATATATATATAATTTTAAAGTAAATATTCAAGTTTTCACGGTATTAATTTAAATGAATTTTAGATATTTAAATTAAAATTAGAAAAATTAGAAAATAGGAAAATTTATTAAAACATTGTAATTATGATGTAAACAAACAAGAAATTTATAATATTTATAATAATGCCAATTAAATATAATTTGAATAATATAATTAAATATTATTTCCTTGGAGAATCTGAAATTCAGATATATTTTTAATTATCGATTATTATTATTAAAACAATATTTTATATTTGTTTTGTTTGTGTACACTTGCTGTACTATCGTATTTTTATAATTATTAAAATATATAACTTATGTAAATATTATTCTAATATTGTGAATATGATTGCATTGTAAATTTTATACAATCAAATTTTTTCTCTAAAATTTAATCAACCGAATTAAGGAATGTCAGGGGACAGATTAAGTAATTTATATCTGTATTGAAAATAATATTGTTTTATAATTTGTATATATACAAAAATTTTAACTATTATACGAAATGAGAATATTTATAAATAAAATAGTTACGAAGGAATAAAAAAAGCAAATCTTTCCTAATTCTTTCTTTCTTCGATTAACTCAAGATATATTTTTGTTGATAACATTTTTATTCTACCATAATAAAAATAATATAATATTTAAATAATGTTTTATTATTATTATTATTTATTTTTTGTTATTAAGTAAAACATGGAAATAAACTGTGTATACAAAATAAGTACAGAATATATAGAGTTGATTACATTAATTATTTTTACAAATTAATTTTTAAGAAAATATTGTTATATATCACTTACTTTCAAAATAGCCTTCAGGACATTGTTGAAGGCAAATTGATAAGTCTGTAACACGCAAGTGGGCAGAAGCACATGATAGGCAAGAGTCCTGACCGACACCAGCACATGTTTTACAAGATTCGTGACAAGGCCAACAAAGACCACCTTGATTTGGAAAACTTTTGGGCGGACATTGACTTACACACGTGCTAAAATTATAATTATTTTAAGCTTGCAATATGTATTTTATTAAATCATACATTATTAAACAAATAAAATATGTTTAAATAACAAAAATAATTTATATTTTCTATTTTATCTTTATTTTTTGAAGCGCAGCTTTTTCCTTTCGAATTTCGGTATAAAGTATAAGTACCTTTATACATAATCTTTGGTAAAGTGATAATTAAATCATATAGTAATTTTTTTTGTTTTTGTTTTAAATACTATTATTTAGCTCTAACAAATAGGTAGTTTGTTACAAAAGGTAGTTTAAACACAATTATAATGTAGTACACGTATTTTTTGTTTTCCATCTATCTTCAAACGATATTCTATTTAATCCTAAATCTTTTAGCACATAATCTATGATATTCTTAAATACTCGTCTCTATAGTAAATATATTGTATTACTCATTACTTAAGATGTTATACTTTTTGCAATTACGTCATTTTCGGGATTGGAGCATCTTCTAAGAACTTCTAAACTTCTAAAAACCCAAAAAAAAATGGGAAAAGTTTAAGCCTTCTAAATTTTGTGTATATAAACATTGATTCTACGAATTCTCGAATACTCTACGCCTTATTTTCGAGTGTTCTACAATATTTCCGCGTAGCAACGTCGATTGGAAATTCTCCAACCTTCTAAAGCATTGTCTTTCTGGAATCCTTGCATTTTCTAGAATTTTCTTTCTGCGCCTCATGTAAGATTCCAGTATATCAACAACGATGTTTTGTTGCCAGATATTTAAAGGAAGCACGAGACGAACCACGCTCTCTCGCAGTGAATCTCTTACAATAAAGATGCCATGTCACGGATCACGGTCTGTCTTAGTAAGACCGCCATGGAACAATCAATATATCTCAGCAGAGCCGCCACGGAACGAACAAGTCTTCAGTTTTCGAGTACGTATTCAAGAGGGTTGTAGGCTCACTGTAAATTTGTCAATCAATCAGTTATCAGTTATTATGCTATACAGCCAGTATTTCCCGCCATATATTATTCAGTCAGATTTTACAGCGATAAACTAGTTACGCGAATACAGTGAAGCTATTATACTTAATACATGTTCAAGTGCGCAATAATTCAAAGCAGTCAAGAGTGCTGATTGCATTACAATAACGAATACGACTATAAAAAGCGTAATACTTAAGCACTCATCATAAGATCCGTCAAGATAACAGAATCTCTATGAGTAAAATCACCTTGCCATTTGGCATCTAATTCAATACGTTACCATAACGTGGCATTACATGAAGAAGTACCAGAGATTTACGACCTTTTACTTTCAATGTAACAATTTACCATCAAGCACACGTCAAGAGGATCCACGTGGTAACGACCACAGAACTACAAGATCTCACAGATTCTCAATACCAACTTAGAATCATTATTATTATGCAGTTTGTAAAATTAAAGGCAATAAACAGTACGATAATGTAAGCATTAATGCTGTAGCAAGTAATGTAGCAAATGTATGTAATTATTGAATAAATGCGCTATCCCTTCGACTTGCCTTTGTTTTGGAGCTTAATCTAATTCTAGACAACCATAAATTCAAATTTTATATATTATATTTTATAATACTGAAATATGATCATGACACATTTTATCATCAAATGAAATCTTAGGTAATTTTTTTTTTAATTATAATAAACAATTCGAGTGAAAAATAAAAATAAATGTTCATGTATTGCTTTATAAAATCGTGTGTAACTTAAAAATATCTTCATTAACAATATATTTAACGGTTATTATCAATATACTTTTTCGTAAAAAAATTAGATTTGTTTCCTAATAAAGTTAACTTATTTTTATCAAAAAATTTGTTCTTGGGTAATGACAGATCCATAATAAATTTTAAAACTTTTAAAAATATGAAACTTATTATTCCATCTCTACTTTTTAAAAAACTGTTGTTAGGTATGAAGTCAATTTCTTCTTGTTCGTACATTGGTAGTTAGATATATTGGTTAGGTTCATGCAGAAAACTTTTCCATTACGTATTTTTAGCTGTAATGTAGTGATTCCTCAATGAGTATCAATATAAATTATACTTTATCGTTACTTTCATCTATACAGTTCGGTAATATTTTAATTGCTAGTTAAAAGTCAAATCGGACTCTGTCTTATCCAATTTTCTTTCTATAAATATATTTTTTATTACATATATTGAGAATAGTACTTCATGTAGATACTTCAATCTTAATTTTTTCCACTATTTAATAGTTATTTGGATGCACGATTTTGTGTTTTTGTTAAACCAAAATTATTTTCTGTGATTCATAATTTAATGTTTTTTATTACAAATTCTTATCATCCTGTTTTTCTTTTTGCACTAAACACAAATTTCTTTGTAAACACCTTCATTTTATAAAACATATAAATTGGTCTTATTTTTACTATTTATATACTTTTTAGGTTCCATTTACTATTGATATATATTTATCGTGACAGCTAATACTTTATTTAGATCCAAAAATTAATATAATATATTGGGTGAAAAGAAGTAATTGTGATTAAAAAACTTTATTATTTCAATTATAGTTTTAAATAAAATAAATCCTTATTAAGAAATAAAAATAACAGAGAATAATCAACTAACTTGTCAAAACGATAATTTTTGCAAGCGACACACTGCATTGGACCTTTGCCATAGCAACCCTGGACATCGCATTGAAGATCACAATCGTGTAAACGAATTTGTTTCATCGAATCTAGGAATAAGTTATCAGCTTGTATATTTGATTCATCATCGGGTAGTCTATTTGTCATAAGGGGCACAGATGAACCATCCAATGTTGTCATTGATGCCTCAACGTATGAAGCAGCACCAACATACAAACCTTGATAACTCTAAAAGTTAGAATTGGATAAGAAGTTTACATTTTAATTAACTATTGGAATAGATACTACATTATTCGGATGTACTGAATAGGTTACAAGATAACGAACCGGGTTAAATAGAGTCTGCACAGGATTAAATTGTCGAGTACGTATTCTAATTGGGTTAGAATCCGTTCCGTAAAAAATCAATTGCCACTTTTTCAGTATTCCTGTAAAATCAATATAAAATACATATATTAAAATTTTTTAGATAATAGTACGTTCAAATATAGTTAATTATACTTGGGAATTATATTTTTACTTATGTATAATAAAAATTTTCAATTTTCTGTATATTAAAGATATAAAGAAAAAAACTTAATTACCTTATTTAATGGATTTTAGATATATATTAATTATATAAAATAAAAAATTAACTGAATATTTAATTAACAATTTATAAGATACATAGGTAATAAAATAAAAATAAACATAAAATATTAAAGCATTCAAATCAAAATTTTAATTGAGCGTTATTAATTCCTTAAATGAGAATCTATACCAGTTATATTTATAAAAGATAATTAAACATTATATTAAAATTCATAATACAGCTTCATATTCTTTTAAAATTAATTGTAATTATTATTGATTTAAAATTTTTATCCAATTAAAATCTCAATCTTCATGAAAAATCTAAGTAATCTAATTTAATCTAAGATAAAGAAGTTAAAAAAAAAACAAATATATAAATATAAAAATATTAAAACAATTAATGTTTTAATTATATACACTTATATTATTATATAATTATTCAATTAAAGCAGATTCAAAAAAGGAATGGAATTTAAAGTTTAATGTATCATTTATTTAAATTTGAAATATATGAAAAACATAAAATTCTATTTATAATTCAACTTACCAGGTGAGTTAACATGTCGAATACCAGCATTCATTACCTGAAGTATCCACCGTCCATCTGCTTTTTCACCCCAGAAGTGAACGCTGAGGAATGGCCAATCATCGAAATTTGAGTTTAAAACATCACGTGGTCTTTCAAATAAAAGAGTTGATGTTGTGCCCATAGGTGAAGTAAGCAATAAACGTAGATTACCACGCGGAAAAAATCTTAAAGAAACCTGAAGGATGAAAATTCATGATAAATATTTTTGTTTCAAAAAGTTTTTAATTGTAAACAATTTAAGAATAATTCAAAACCACTCATGATGCAACTAAAGTAATAAATACTCATCGATATAACCAAATAAGATTAATAAAAAACCAAAACAATAAAAAGCATGTATTGTGATGGATTGTATTTAACTACGGAATACTTGTTATTCAATACCCATTACTAGTAGGAGTTGAAATACAACATTTAAGCCTTAAGAAATATATTTATATAAGCCTTAATTTCGTAATTAATCTTTAAATTATTCTTAAATTAATCTTTAAACTATTTTATATTTTTTAACATTATTTTTATGTATAATCTTAAGCTTTTATTTATAATTCTTTAAAACTTGTAGTACAAAATGTATTTATTTTCATGTACATTATTAGTGATATATTGAAAATCAAATAATAGCAACCTAATTATCATTAGAAGATGGAAGATTGAACTGTATTTATTTTTATGGTGAGATCAAGATTAATAGTTTATAATAGAAATTGACGGAATATCAATTATTTATATACTTATCTTGTAGTATATAGTTAATAAAACTGAAAAACAACAAATTAATTAATTCCTACTTAATTATCAAATCAAATAATTAAAAAAAAAATTATTGAACGCAGTAACTGAAAAATATGATGCATGTTTAATATTGTACCAGTGATTTATAACCAATTAATAATGACAATCAATTTATGAGTGTAAAGATTTGGAAAAAGTTAATATTTGGATAACAATTAAATAAAGGAATAACATTATTGTAAATTATAATTAACAATGAAATAAATGAGCATTAAACGTGTTAACATTACCTATAGCACCATTATATTTATTCTAATGCTTCAGATACTCCATACTCGGATTCGAGTTTAAAATTTGAGTTTTCCATAAATATTATTCGTAGTTAACGTAATCATAAACTATCTTTACCTTTTAATTTTCTACAAATTATTTCTTGGAAAATTAAACATTCTGAAATTCTAAATAAATTTTTGAAGAAATAATTTTGATTTACTTTAAATTTATGTACTAGAGAAAAACGTAATATCTGTATATTGTTTAATATGGTATTTTCTTAAATATTGTATATAAAATTGAACTATAAAAATGTTTTATAAGCGAATAATTTATTAATGAATTATAATAAAAGTTTTTATACAATTACAAGTATTGTTTTTTTTCTTTAAACTGCATACTGAATAACTTTTTTTTACAATTTTTATTGATTTAATCATTTTTCTTCTATTTAAAGGAATAATTCATTTAATAAATTTGTAATATGCGATATAATTCTTCAAACTATTAATTTACTCATTCAATTAGTGATAGATTTATTAAATTTAGTAAAAAAGATGAAAAAATGGACATCAATTATTTAAAGTAACCGAATTTAATATGCAAGTTACTCTAAATTGAAAAATGTGAAGTCTAATAGACTATATTTTCCAAGTCTAAACTTTTTTACTTATAGCAAAGCTTCTTGAAGTGAATAGCATTTAAATTCCAAACAATTAATAAAAATCAAAGATAATGAGTTCTAGTTCATAAATATTATTCTGCCCATGAACTATATATTCTGAATAAATGTTGAATAACTCTTAACTTATTCTTCTGCGAAGAGTATAGAGTATATTAATCTATTAATGCACAGTAGAGGTATTTAAATTATAAAAAAAATTAAAATACTATATCAAATATAATATTTAAAGCTCAATCTTTTAAATGATTTTGAAATGGGCTTCCAGAAAATTGAGCTTTAACTTTTAAGATAGTGTATATTTAAACAACCTATTTAGAAATGCAAAGCTCATAAGATAAAATAAAATTTTGAAATATATTATTAATTTAATTTTATAAATTAATTTGCACCGAGTCTACGAACATAAAAAATTAATGTAGGATAATACCAAGCAGAATGGATCTTACCGAAAATTATTGCTAGAATTAATTAAAAATTAAATATTTGATTAAATGAAAAAAAAACGCTTAAAAAATTGATACATTAAAATTATATATTAGTAATGACAAAATTAGTTTTTATTACGTTCATTATAGCATTATTCATATATCATTATGAAAATAATTTTACAATAATTACAATACAATAATTTTACAATTATAATTTTATCTAATAATATTGTTAATTGAGGTGTACAAATTACAACCGTGTTGCCAATTAAGATGTACAAAAAATAAATAAAATACAGATGTAATGTATGTACGTGTGCGTAAGGGTGATTAGTGTGGATTTCACATAAGATCACAATAAATATTATTATGCATTCTCAACAATTTCTTTTGCAAACAATCTTCTTTGAAGTTCTATCATTATATAATGAATAAAAAAACGAAAAATAAATACTTTATTTTAGTATTAAATATAAGTTTTACATTTTACTGGTGCTTTATACAATTTCTTATTTTATCTTAACGCTGTTTTATTCTGATTAAGAAGCTAAATATTAATAGTTTTTATAAACGTCAAAATCCAGTACAAAGGTTAATATATCTACACTACATTAAGCCTTAGTACTTTTGAATTATTAATAGATTTTTATGCAGATCATAAATGCTATCGATTGATTAATACATTATCTTTAATTAAACTCAACATATATATGTTTCAATATTAATTAAATAATGTTTTCAAAGAATAGTTTGTAATATTTAATTTATATTTAGTATAGTTAGTTATATACAGAATGATAAAATGTTTAGTGAATAAAAAAGATGTTATATAGAGTACAATAATACTGTACTAAAACATATGTACTTATTCTTCTTTGTTTGAAGCATATTTAATACGTTTCAACTAGAGTATAATTTAATAAAAAAATTTATATCTAGAATTCCAAATTATCTACGGAAAATGATGAAATATCGGAATATAAAAATCAATCTTTTGAATCTTATTACGTTTAGAATAATAAATTAAATTTATGATATATAAAATTTTGCCATACTTATTTGAAAAACAATGAATAATATTGCATTTTATTGACATCTACAATATGATCGCAATTATAGTTTAGAAATAATTTGTTGTATTTTTCGTAACTTTACTTCAACAATTTTCTATTTAAATTAATTTATTTTCAAATAAAAATTTGTTATCTTCTTTTTTATAATATAAAAATATTATTAGGAAAGAATAATGAAAACACTTTATATACACAAATAATATAATAACAAAACTTGCAAAATAAGTTTATGTCAAATATTTTACCCTGCAATAGAAACACAATAAATCTCATCCTTTAAATAGGGCTGTTGCTAAAAAGAGAGTCTTAAGATGTCCTATCATTTGAATTAGTATATTTATACATATAATAATCAGACACAAGTAATTTATATTATTGTTGTCAAATATGTCAAAATATATTAATTATTAAAATAATAGAATCCAATAATTACCTTGCATTGTACGTGTTCGAGAAATCGAACTTCATTAAGTGTGCCTGTACATGCATTAACGTCCATAGATACACTAAATGTGTAATTAAAAATTGGATATATTTGACGATCCTCATTAATTTCCTGAGACTTACAAATATGTTGAGTAGGAACATTTATCCACTGTTCTGCTAATATTACCATTGCTCCAGCATCCATTAGACCATAACCAAATTTATGAGAAACCTATAATTTACTTCAGTTTTATTGTTTTATTCTATATATATTAATATTATATAATAATAAAGCCGACTATTTTAAATAATACTAAAAGGCATTTAAAATAATTTATTACATGGAAATTACTACATAGAAAAATCTAATAAATTTAATGTGAAATACCTATGAATTTAATAATTGTATATTTTTTGTAATATATCCATATAATTTTGTATAATTTCTAATATTAATTATAATAGTATTATTAGTTTTTATTATTAATTATTATACTATAATTCTATTTCTATTTTATTTATAATCTATTTAATTATAATACTATTAATTATAATACTTTAAAAAGTATATACATTCATTTGTCAACTATAATAAAAAAGAATCTTAATGTAATATTTTTTACACAAATTTTAATTAAAATAAAAATAAAATATATACTAGGTACAAATCAAATTTAATATATTTGAAAGAATATTTACATGAAAAGTAGATATTTTGTATTAAACAGTTGTTATATAATTATTGATTATAAAAATAAAAATTTTAAATAAACAAAGTTTTTTAAATGTTTAATATCGAAATTAAAAAATTAAAAAATAATATAGAAATTAAAAAATTACTAATTCATAAAAAGATTTTATTTAAAGGTACGTGAAATACAATATTTATAAATGCTATAAAATATATCAAGACAACAAAATACTTAACAAAGCATATTTATTAATAGATTATTATATTATTTTATTATATTCTTTGTGTATTAAAAATTATATAATTTCTTTTAGTGCTATTGACAAAATAAATGTTTAAATTATAGATAATATTTAAATTAGATTATTTAATTTTAAAGAAATTATAACATTCATTTACATCAATTATAAAAAAATATCAATAAAAAATTATTTAATTTTGTTAATGTTTAATATATTTTTTCTTTTCTGTTCAATTTCTATTTTATTTCAATATTTTCGGAATAATATTATATATTTACGTATAAATTATAATAGATTGTAATGTATAATAATTTATAATATTATAAATTATAATGTGGATAAATTATAATGTATTATAATAGAATAATATATTAATCTTCTTTTATAAATATTAAATCAATGCTTAGCATACGATTTTATTTAATACTCAGTATTAAATTAAAAATTATTGATACACCAGTAAGAAGTGCATGGTCGCTTTAGTTTAATTTTAGTATAAATACAATATTAAAGTTATTGTAATTAGTTCATTTTTATTTAATTTAAAAGTTATTTGTAATTATTCAGTCATTGAAAAAATTACTTTTATTAGATAAAATTAATGTACCTTGCGTTTGACACCGTTCAGTATCCATCCAGATTCTTTTTCTAATGGATGTGAGCGTGATGTTAGAACAACAAGATATTGCATATCGCGCCAAGTAAGTGTTGGATTAGCTTCGAGAGCTAAAGCAGCTATACCAGCAGCAAGTGGTGCAGAAGCTGAAGTACCTGTATGTTCAACAGTGCAAATATGATCTTCACGTAAACTTGCATCCATATCAACAGTTGTTACGCTTTTATCGCTCCCAGGCGATCCTGAAGAATATGTTGTAGCTAGAGTGGAACTACATTCTTCGAGATACCAAGGTTTGTATCCGCCTTGTGTCGCTGACGATATTGACAGGGTAAAAATACTGTTGGTATAACCATCGCAATTACATGAATCTGTGTGACGACCTCCATTACCCGACGCCCATACAAATATTGAGCCCTTACCCTGACGACCCTATGAGTGAATTAATATCTCTTATTTAGTATTTATACATTAGATAATTAAGTATAAATTAAACCCATTTATATTTATGAAAGTTTTTATTTGATTGCAAATTCGATTTTAATTAAAATTTTGTTAAATTGAATACACTATATATTCAAAATATATCTTCGATACAAAGTAAAGTTTGAATAAATACAGTTTTAAATAGTAATACAATATATATTATGATGAAAATTGTTCCATTATTCCAGCTTGAAACTATTTCACAAAAAAATTTGTTCTAATACAAATTACATTATATTTCAATAGAATTATCTTTTACATAATTTAATTAAACTCGATTTAAAATATTTATTGTATTTGAATTAATTGAATATGGATAAAATTGTCAATATCTTCATTGAATAACAAAATTTTATATAATTGTGTTGATCACAAAAATATTAATATTTTGTTCAAAATATTTAAATCGAAAAAGACTATATTAGAGAATTTACGATTGTATTTACTAAATTTTTTATCAAAATTAGAATAGAATTTCATAAAATTTATGTCGGATTTATTCGTTAAAAATAATAATATTAAATTTTATTCTATTTTATATTGGGATATTTTAATTTTTTAACTGACGATATATGAGCTCCATTCATGCAGTTTATTAGATGGTTTCGCATATAATAACTTACACTGGTTACACCGTAAATAAAAGCACGCCTTGCAAGTGGACCTGGACCATCTACTGTTTTTCCATCATCTTCAGGTCCCCACGAAGCACTGTAAATATCAATATGATCTGGGTTCAATCCCAATGCACGTGCTTCAACTGCGTCATTCACCGGACCATCCAACATACGAACACCTATGCATTTATATGTATTTTTTTTTAATATTTTTGATTTTCACGAGTTTGCTCACTTTTTATAGTATACAAAATATTTATGAATTCGTAAACCTCTTTATCATTAATAATAAGTATTCAAGTTTTATTTATTTACCTCCTATACTCGAATTATAAGCGACACCAACTCCACAAAAGCGGTTAAAAGCGACTGCAGCCACTTCACCAGCACATCTCGTTCCATGTTTGTTATCTCCATTATCTCGTGGCATAGGATCGTCATCGTTATCATTAATATCCGTACTGGCTTCATGATCATAATTTAAAGCCAAATCTGGATGATTAGTTTGAATGCCATCATCAAGAATAGATATAACAACACCTTTTCCAGTATATCCCTTTTGCCAAGCAGGACCAAGATTCATATCAAAGCCATCTTTTGCGCCACCATTCTAAAATAAAATAATATATTTTTAATTTAAGAATAGATAAACAATGTGTTTTTGTTATTTTATTATATATTATTTAATGTAACTTTTTTTCCTTTCGTGCATTTATGAATATATACTCGTAAATATATATTCCTTTCATTTATTAAGACTTTCTCATTTGCTTTGTTACATAAAAAATGTATGTAATAAAAAATCAAGAAATACAAATAACATAAAGAAGATAGAATTAAATAAATACAATTATTTGTGCTTTTTAATAAGAAATAATCCATCTTTCTGAAGATTAAGGCATAAACATAATATCGTCAATAAATATTTTTTAATATCATCATAATCTTAATTTATCTTAACTATGGGGATAAGACACTTCTATATAACTTTATATAGATTAATACGTGTTGAAACTAATTCAATTTAAAAATAAATAGTCTAAAAATAACAGAAACTTTGAAATAAGATACTATTTGAATAAAATTTTTATTATTTTTCGTACTTCAATATCATATAAAAAAAATTGAAAAGTCACACCGTTATGATATTTATGATGATTCGTAAATATTTTTTCATTAAAAAGTTATCCTTAAGTGATTTGAAATACGAATATAGTTTTTGAAGTATTAAGGCAATTCTATAGCAAATCAATAATAATATTTGGTCTCAGGTTATTTTTTACGTCTACTTGTTTAAATAAGAAGAAAATCAGATAAAAAATTATTTTTATTTATTAGAATTAATAGCCCAGAATTAATTTTTTCTCAAAAATCCGGTTATTAGAATAAAAATAAATGAAAATGCAAGTTTAATCCTCTAATTGGTTTTGAAGGAATGGTGGATGAATAAATGCTTCTTCTGTTCATTTTGATAAAGGTTTATATTAATTTGATTAAAGTGAACAATAATGCAATAGGTCAAGATAGTAACTAAGCAATTAGATGAGATACTTTAATATTCTGTGTATTCAGAAAAGTGTTCTACTCTATCTATATTTATAATAAGTCTAAGAGTATATAGAGTAAGAGTAAGATTAAGAATAAAGAAATGCATCATTATTATGACGGCTTTTGTATATCCATACGTTCACCTAATTGAAAAGCGTGAAATAGTGAAATATAAATATTCGTGTGCTCTTTTGTAAACTATTAAATAATGCAAGTATAACTCTCTTCGCCCTATAAAGAAAAATATTATTAGTTTATTTATAGCAGTTCTTTTCTAACTTCATAGTTAATTTTTTCCTATCTATAAAATTGTTCGTTCGGTATATGGTAATTGTTAATAAATGTATTAAAATTCTTGGTTTAATAAGTACATAATTATAAGCAATTTAATGTGTACATAAATATAAATACCAATGGAAATGAACAAAATTATTATTGGTAGTAATAACGAAATATTTATGATTTATAAAAAGATTTAAACACAAAAAGTTACATAACAAATTTTGTAAAAAATAATATATCAATAATTAGCACGATTTAAATAAATTATTGCTCATATGTAAAAAATGTTTTTATAATTATCAGATAGATTAGCGTGTAGATCTATTCGAACGCTAATAAAATTAATGAGGAAAATGATTAACACCTGTTCACAGGCTTAAAATTTGAATTTCATTCACTTAATAAGTTATAATCTAAAAAGTATTAAAAACAAATGACACAAGTGAATAAAGATACCACATAAAATACTGATTAATATTTTGGACGCTTAAAACGAATAACATTATTATAATATCTAGTACGGAAAATATAGTAGTGAAATTAGAAAACTCAGTTACATAATAAATCATTATTTTAGAAGTCTAAATCTAGTAATTAAAGTTTAAAATAAAAAAAATATATTAATAGAATAAGGTCATGAAGGGGAGGTTATCAACTACAATGATTAGAGATAGTTAATGTCGATTGAAGAAGTAATTACTTTAAATTCTCAAGAAATAGAGTGCGTGTTTGACGAGTATCAAGTAAAAATGAGAAGTCACTTAATATTAGTAAAACTATTTTATAATTGAAATCATTTATTCTATTATTAAATAATTTTACTTTAACTGCATATTAAATATATTTAACATAATTTAAATATAACTAAAACAACTTTCTTGATTACTATTCAAGAATGTAAGAAAACTCCCAACTCATTAAACATCTGGAAAAATAGAGATAAGAGTTCCAAAAAGGCAACTCTCGGCTACGCGAGTAATAACATTCAAAAACGCGCCTCGGATTAACTACATCTAAACAATTTAGCAAAACTTCGAATATCTTAAAAAAATAAATTTCATAAACACATCTGGCGAGAACAAGGCTCCAAGTGTCTAGCAAAACAAGACATAAAACTAATGCTACGAGACATTTGACACGGCCTCGCCATAAAGCATCTATCGACGACAAATTATAAAACATCTGGCGTACACAAATCATAAAATTAGCCTGAAAAACACAAGCCAGATGATACACTCAAAAACAATGCTACACCTAACCTTCACAACATTGACCGATCGCAACGCGCATGATTATAAGAAATGCATGCAACAATGCTAGGATGGAGAGGGAAAAGCGCGGCATGAAGACCCCCCATCATGGAAGGGAGTTGAGCAAGACCCGCTCTCATTGGAACCTACATCTTGGAAAGACTCACGGGTGGGAGATCCCACCACTCGAAAAGCGCCGTAATTAGAATTACCATAAACTAAAGAAGAATTTTGATTGGGCACACTTATAAGACTAAATCTCATTGGTAACGGCATGATCGACAAGACAGCTTTGATTGGCGACACCAAAAGAGAGGGAATTCTCACCGACCACCGCGTGGTCGAGAGAAGGCTTTAAAAAATGCAACGCCGGCATGGCACAATCACTTATCTTATCTTATCTAATAGAAACAGAACAAGTCGATAAAACGCAAAGGTCCAAGATTAATCTATTCAACACAAGTACTAGATAATCAAATCATACACTCGCAGCAGTGTAATACAAAAAAGGGAATCGAGAACTACGAACATTAGTCCGCACAGTATACACAATCAAACTACAAGGAGCCCTACGAGGCAACACAAAGAATAAGACAAAACATAGCTATACACAACGTGCAGACTCACGAGGTAACGTTCCATTCCAAATTAATTCTTAACTAAATCAAGCTATACACGCCAATCTGCAGATATGTAAACCTATCTGCAAAACATAATACAAACAATGCAAGCGACGCCACGTGCTCATATACAAGGAAGCGCGGGGGCTTACGACCTCGCTCTTCTGTGTGTATTATTTCATTTACACGTGTGTCACATATAGAGGACCAGCAAGGCATCAACTTCTTCCTGTGTATGCGACTTACGTGATAGCTCGGTGGCAATAAACATACAATTCAAGAGAAGTCAAAAAAATCAATTATAAAAATAAAACTAATTATAATTCAACTAGTGCAATCATAAATAAAACAAACTAAATAACAAAACTGCTCTTTATTGAATACATGTACTATCATGTCCACTAGCCTGCAATCCTCCTATCAACATCTGGAGCTCACATCTAATCTTAGTTACTTGGCCCTCCTTGCCCGGTACACTATTTTTAAACACTTACACATAGTACGGTTCTAATATGCAATTAAAATACATAATAAAATGTACTCGATTACTTAAATATTTTTCATGTATATATTTATATATATTATTTATTGTATATATATTGTGTTTATACGAGTGTGTGAGAGAGAGACAGTTTTGTTTTTTGTAATGTTTTTGTGATTATTTTTTTAATATATACATTTCATATTCAATCGATATTTTATATTGAATCTTTAAAAACATTAAATATATTATTGTTTACATTCAAGAATTAAGATTATTGCGTATTATACTTTAAATAATAAATTATATACTTACTAAATACCACTGTTCTTTAAATAATGGATCAGTAAATAAATTCTGAAGAGGAACGCCACGATTTGTTTGACGACGATAACTCTCTTGTAATCTAGAGTTATACTCGTGAAAAAATGATGGAAAATCTTTAAAATCTGCCATATCTCCAGAAAAATCTCTTTTTCTTCGTTTTTTTTCGTGTTGTTGCTGAAACCAATGTATCTACGAAAATTAAAACGTGTATTAGCAACTTTGTACTAGCTTTATAATTAATAAAAATTTTATTTCAGAAAATGTATATTCTTATGTGTGCATTGTATAGTTCAGTGAAATACTGGAGTATAATTAATTTTTGAAGATTTATAAGTATTCAAATTAAATACATGATTTTATCTTTAAACGAAAATAAAATCTGAATTTTCGTACACTTTTTTATAAATTGCATTCCGATAAATTTCCAACTATTAATAATATATTATATATATTCACTAAACGTTGATAACTTTATAATTACATGACATTAAATTGCTTTCAGTTATTAATAATTAAGAAAAATATTTTAAACTAAGTTATTAAAATATCATAGTATAAAATTTATGCAAATGATATAATAAAGTTATACAACATTAAAATTAATCAAATTATAAAGTAAAATCTTTAATATTTTCATTTTAAATAAAAAAACAAAATATTAAAATTGTTTTCAAATTATAGTCAAACAACAATTCACGCTTGATAAGTGTTTATTATCCTTCCCCCTGATACTTATTGATAGGAACTTTATTGATAGTTATGTTTGATATCTCTATTTGAAAAGGAGAAGTATAGAAACAAAGATAAAGAGAAATTGAAACTCTATTAGTATTTCGCTATTTGTTTGAGAGGATAAATTCGAGCCCGTTTAACTCACCAAAATTTAAGTCGAGGTAGCCTGTAGTGAAGGCAAATAGATATTGAAACGTAAACGTAACACAAATCAATCTACCCCTTTCAGTTCGATTAAGTAAAAACATAGACCGAAACCGTCATCGACTCTAAATAACTTTTTTCGCGGCGACTTCGTTCAAGTAATTAATATATTTGGAGCTCGTTTTTGAGAGTACGACACCGTAGCTCCGGTTTCGCTTATCTTAACATGTAAAAACATATTTTAGATATAACTTTGTATGGCCTAATGAAAAAAATTACCTACCAAATCTTACAAAAATACGATCATCTAACAATAAAAAACAGCAACGTTTCAAACATTGACGTCTTTTTACAAAATTAGCCAAAGTTATTGAATTTCCAATCTGAACAAATTAAAAGCACTATACACTCAAATTATCCCTACATATTTAATATATACTATATATGTATATAAACCTAATCAAAATTGAAAATAAAATTAATACGAAATTTTTTTGTTAAATAAAATTCATTAATTAAATAATACAAAATTAGTATACAAAATTTCTATTGCAGGAGATCATTAACAATGTTCGGAAAATAATTCCACAATCTGACTCGTCAGCCAAACGTGCAAAAATCAACTTAGAACAAAAAACCCACTAGATGTTGTGTGGTGTTGCCGGGCAAGTAAAGGGTTAATGCATCGATTCAATAATTAACACATATCTTTATTATTGCTGTCTGATTCATTTATTTTACTTTATTTCCAATGGGAATTATTAACCTTGGTTAACTTACAAATGATCTTTATATTTCTTAATAATCTTGTGGTGTTGATATATCTGTTTATTGGATAATTAGAGGATAATCAATTTCTTATTCTCTGCATGTCACTGGTGAGATTATGATTTACTGTAACAAGAAGTAGGTTATAATCTATTGAATATTATCACTGAGAGGTTATAACCTACTTCTTGTTACAGTAAATCATAATCTCACCAGTGACATGCAGAGAATAAGAAATTGATTATCCTCTAATTATCCAAT